AAAAAAAAAAAAAAAAAAGAAAAGAAAAAAAAAAAAAGAAAAGAAAAGAAAAAGAAAATCCCCCCAACACTGTTGAAGTTGCTAGCATAGTCCTCTTGCTATTGTCATGGCTTTGTTACTGTTGCAGCGTTTGTGTGTAGCGTCTTAATAGATTTCAAGAAACCTCAGCCTAATCACACGTATCTTCAGGTTTGTGAGAGCGTATGATGATGTTCTTTATGAGGTAACGCCCGATGCTTTGTCAACGTTTTTTATTTGTGTTTTGTGTGACTTTTTTTTTTCTTTCTTGGCTTTAAATTGTACAACACCGATTTAAGAAATAAAATTGTTTGGAAGTTGTTAGCAGGCTGTTCTCAGTATCTGTGCAGCCCATCGGCAGGGCTCTGGGTGTGCCAGGTAAGGTTTGTGCTTGGCTCAGCCTGCTTAGTGGTGAAGGGGAGGAGCGGGCGGCCACGGAGCATCCATTGAGATGAGTGAGCATCCGTCCTGCTAACGCACCTGTGTGCTGACACTGCTGGAAGGGGTCCTTGTTTTTAATGCATGCAGTGTCTTTCCCTGGGAAAACTGAACCCACAGCACTCCTCACAGGCAGCAGAGCAAAGGGAGAAAGCGCTGGCTGGGAAGACTGAGCAACAGAACACAATAGCAGCTCTGAACCGTGAGGCTGCAATGATTTAAAAGCCACGGTGCAAACAGCAGAGCTTTCTGCACGTTCACTGTGATGTTCTGTTGCTGCTGATGCCAGGACAAAACAATCCCAAGCAATTCTCAGTGCGTCTGCCTTTGTTCCCACATTATATTTAGCAGCTGGAAGGACGTCAGCAGCGCTGCTCCCTGGGCAGCCAGCAGTCAGATCTTGCCTGGTGACATCAAGGAAGCAGAACTGGGCGGATGTGCTTTAAACCACGGCGATAACATCGAGTGTTCCACTTACAGATACCAACTCCTGTCTTTTTGACTTAACCTTTGCAGAACCAACGTTCCTCGGCCGCCAGACCTGCTGGGCACAGCGGCAGCTCTGGATGTCACTGAATTTCTCTTTGTTCCTCATCTGCCTGTCTGAAAACACACTGTTAAAAAAGGACCGAATGAAAACTTTCCTGTGTAGGGAGCATTCAGACCCCCTGCGAGGAATGTGCTCCCAACCCCATCTGGCAGCTCTGCGGGCTGCTTTCCAAAGTAGCACTGCTGGCAGCTCATCAGTTCCACATCGCTGCAGAACCTGAGGGCAAAACCAGACGTTCCTTCCTGGACTGCGGAGCTTGCTTCTCCTTCGGACTGCTTTAGCTGCCCCGACTCCAGCTGTTGTGCTTAACTGAGTAAAACGCCGACATCCCCAGCGCCACTTGCCGGCGCCAGCGCTCTCCACGTCCCGAGGCCGGCTGCACTGCAGGCGCGGGGTCGGGCAGGGCTCAGGGCAGGGCGGCAGATCACAGAGCTCCATCTGCCCGTCTGGGAGCAGACGCAGCACGTCGCTTTGTGAGCGGTGACGTATGAGCCACTGCGTGCCCTACAGGCCGGCACCTTCCTCCAGCTGGGAGGGGTGGTGCAGCCCCCCCTGCCGACACCGTGCCCGTGCAGGACGGGATGCGCTGCGCTACTTCCCCTTACCCTCCCCGTCTGGGGTCGTCGGCCACGAACCGCCCGGCGCTGCAGGACCTGCCGGGTACGGGCGCGCAGCAGGACGGCGCAGCCGCAGCACCGCCCCCTCCCGGCCGCCGTATCGCCGCACGCGCGGTGCTCCGTAAGTGGCGGCGGGGCCGGGCCGATGCTGGCGCTGCGCTGGGGGCTGCGCGCTGCGAGCGGAGGGTTCCGACCGCGGAACGTGCGTGGGGAGCGCGGGGGAGAGAAGGGGGGGGATCCGCACCGCTGCTGCGCCGCCCCGCCGCCGCTCTGACCCGCAGCCTTCTCCGTCCGTGCAGGAGCTGCTCGCCATGGCGAAGAGGCCGAGCGGGGCCGGCGAGGGACCGGAGGAGAACGGGCAGCAGGGCAAGAGACTGAAGGGAACCGCAGATGAAGGGGATGCGGAGGAGCAGAGTAAAAGGACGCCCAAAAGGAAGATTGTGTTGTTGATGGCGTACTCGGGGAAAGGCTACCACGGCATGCAGGTACGCGGTGTGCAGGGGGAGAGGAGGAGGAGACCGGGAGGACGAGGAGCGGCCGGGCGGGGCGCTGGGCTGGGCGGGCAGCCGGTGCAATGAATGGGCTTGGAACCGCAGCCGTTCCACCCCCACAGCCGTACATTGTCGTTCTGCTTCGTGCTTTCGCTACCAGAAAACTCTACTGCAGGAGCATTTTTCAGAGGGGTCAGAAATGCCCCATCTCTTGCAGTGACAGCAAAAGCTGAAGCAGAATATACGTATTTTCTCAAAGCGCTTTGGTGGAGCTTTGTAGGAACAGCAGCACCTGCCAGCGAGGAGGGAAGATGCTATGAATTTCACAGTGATGTTCAATTAACAAAAGTTTTTGGTGACGTCTTTCAGAGCGGTGGCCCAGTAATTACTGCTTGTTTTATTTCTTATTCACTCTCAGAGAAATCTGGGCTCTTCGCAGTTCAAGACCATCGAAGATGATTTGGTGTCTGCCCTCGTGCAGTCCGGCTGCATCCCAGAAAACCATGGCGAAGACATGAAGAAGATGTCGTTCCAGCGCTGTGCTCGGACAGATAAGGTACATTGCACAGGGCTGCTCACACAACGGGCTCTGCCCCTCCGGTGCTGTCAAAGCGTTGTTCAGCATGAGATCCAATAGCAAGTGCTACCTGTGGTGAATAGTGTTTGAAACTCCTCCCTTCATCCCCTGCTAAACTTGAGTACAAAGCAAGCATGTAGAAGTTGTGGGGTATTGCTTAGATGGCGTGTGTGAAGCTGGCGCTTTGTACTTAAGCCATGTGTTCGCCTTTCCCTCCCATTCACCTGTTCCAGCTTCCCAGCCTGACGCTGCTCCTCTCTGCTGCTGCTGCCTGCTTGATGCGGAGCTCAGAAACTGAACTGCATCTCACTTTATTTTTTAACCCGCCACATCAAGGTGCTGAATCTGGAGTGGGGTTCATGGCTGGCTTATGTACAAGTCAGCTTTGCTGCTGGTGCTTAACAGCAGGCAAATATAGCGGGATGTGTCCTGAAGGGAAGTGCAGCGTTTTGCTATGTAAGATTGCTGAAGTGCTCGACGGCTGTGCAGCACCAGGTGGCCTTCCAGGAGCATTCCGATTTGGGTTTCTGCCTTTGCCTCACTTCAGCCTGAAATGACCAGTGAGGAAAAAAGGAATAAATTCGTTCTTCAGCTCTTTCAGTTCTGCACGTGTTAACCTGGAGCTTCCGAGGTGCATAACTGTCCGTGTTTTATGATTTTTGTAGGGTGTGTCTGCAGCTGGACAGATTGTGTCGCTAAAGGTCAGGCTAATAGATGACATCTTAGAAAAGATCAATAACCATCTTCCTTCTCATATCAGAATTCTGGGTAAGGATACTGGAACGGGCAGAGAAAATCTTGACAAAGAGGAGCTTCTCCTGCGCAAAGTCTCTTCCTTTTTGTTGTAATTTTACTCAAAAGGGGTTTAGTTTTAACAAGCACCTGTGCGCTTACGCTGGTTTGAAATCGGCGTCCTATAAAATAAATTGTATCTTTTGATTGCATTTTATTTAAGAAAGAACACGTCTGCTGATGTACATGAAGTCACAAGCAGGTTTGCAGCTTACTGATTCAAAAACTTGATGTCGCTTTTTAAATAAGGGCTGAAGAGAGTCACTGGGGGATTCAACTCCAAGAACAAATGCGATGCCAGAACCTACGCCTACATGCTGCCGACGTTTGCCTTTGCCCATAAAGACCACGATGTGCAGGAAGAGGCGTATCGACTCAGCAGAGAGACCCTTGAAAAGGTCAACAGCCTGCTTGCTTGCTATAAAGGAACACACAACTTCCACAACTTCACTTCTCAGAAGGGACCCAAGGACCCCAGCGCCAGGAGATACATCATGGAGATGTACTGCGGGGAGCCCTTCGTGCGGGACAACATAGAATTCGCAGTGATCAAAGTGAAAGGGCAGAGCTTCATGATGCACCAGATAAGGAAAATGATCGGACTGGTGATAGCTATTGTGAAAGGTTATGCTCCTGAGTCTGTTATAGAGCGCAGCTGGGGAGAGGAGAAAGTGGATGTGCCCAAAGCTCCGGGGCTTGGCCTGGTCTTGGAAAGAGTGCACTTTGAGAAATACAACAGACGATTTGGGAATGATGGGCTGCACGAGCCGCTGGAGTGGACGGAGGAGGAGGAGAAGATTGCTGTTTTCAAAGAGCAGTATATCTATCCTACCATTATTAACACAGAAAGGGAGGAGAAGTCCATGATGAGCTGGCTGAGCACCCTCTCCATTCATGACTTCAACTCTTCTGCTGCTGAGATGGAAGCCAACAAGAAAAATTCAAAGGTAATGATTGAAGCCATTATTTTTACAAAGGGAAGCTGTTAAGTTAAAAAGGCTTTTCCTGTAAGAACATTTTTGTTTTCCACCTATACTATGGAAGATGACAGTCATCTGGAGTATAAAATGTATTCTGTCACTTCACTTTTTTTCTTTGATGATGGTGGAACAGATGATACAAAGTGTTCCTTAAGCAGGGTTTTGGGTGGGGTGGTTGAGAAGGGGAAAGGGAGCAATGCTGTAAAACACAGGCTGGTTTGGCTGCGGTCATACACCAGCAACAGAAGTTGTGGAAACAGCACCAGCTTTTGCTTTTGGGAAGCTGTTTGAAAGATTAGTTTTGGGGTTGCAGTTGTGGCTCAGTGCATTTCCTTGTTTTCAGGCTAATTCCCATTTTACGTAATGCTGTGGTCATGAGAAAAACTTTGTGATTGGGAGAAAATTAGGAGCTGCTGAAGTAAATCTGCTGTGTGCTCAGAATGGGTCATTAGAACAACTGCAGGTGAACTTTTGGTCAGAGGGACGGCAGTTCTTAAAGAGGATGATGGGCTGGGCTGAAGTTTCTGTGCAGTACAACTCAGAACAAAATGTCCATCTTTGCTGAATGGAATCATTAAAGTTAGCTTTACTTTATGTAGCTTAACGGTCGTGCTCTGGAGAACATCAGGTTTAATTCTGTCTGCCATTTTTGAGTATGAGAAATAGTTTAGCATACAAAGCATACAGCCTTGTTGAAAAGCACAAACAAGATACCGAAATGTCTCATTAGCCTTTTTTGGTGCTTATTTTCAGTACCAGCGTTTTGTGCTACTTTTAAGTTTCCCACATAGTGCAGGTCGTAATCATGCAGCTACAAATAGAGAAGAGTTCTTCTCTTGCTGAGTGTAGTCCACTGTACAACGTTTTCTTCTATCAAAAGTGTCATCTACCATCACAGGAGTTGGTTGCGTTAGATGGATCTAAGCCATGAAGTTGGGATCTTGCCCCGTTTCCTCGTGGAGGTGTTTAAATTCAATGTCACATAAATGAAATGCTGACAAACCATTTTCCATTTTACTTTCCAGAGCAGCGATGTTGAAGGCAGTGATGGTTGTGGTGGTGATTCTGACTGAGTCAATGCGTGGTTGCACCTGGTACCCATACAGCTCACAGCTCTCTGTCTGCAGAAAAGTGGCCTTCCTCATCTGAGAATCCAGTGAAGCAGGGGATTGCGTACTGCAGAACAAGAAGTTGATGGAGAAAATGAGCGGGGCAAAAAAAAAATCAACCAAAAAACAGAACAGCAGGAAGAAGATGAGGGGCTGTGCCACTGACTGATCCACCTGACTGGGATACTTGAAAATAGCCTGATGAGAAAGCAGCTTTCTAAAGGATTCTTGTGACGCAAGGTGTCTTAATTGCTATTTGAATCATGTTTTTATTACGCGTTTACCTGGAAATAGTATTTTAAATCTGTGTAATCTCTACGTGAAGATGAGACAAAGCATTTTAATACACTTTTTTGGGATTATTTTTATGAAGTTATGACTCCATGAACTTTTCTTTCCATTTTCTTCACCTTTAATTAGTCTAGTCTCTACTCATCCTGTTAAGCTTTTATTTTTTGTCACTCATGGCTTTCTTGTGAAATAATATGCATGGGACAGAAATTCATTATCATGCTAACTGCTACAAATTTTTGCTATTGAATCAACCTTTTTGTTTTCTCAAGGTTTGCAGGTCTAAAAGAAGCGATTCCTTGCTCAGTGAGAGATCTTAATTTTGTAACAAGGCTTGAACCGTGTACTTTAAGACAGTGCTTTTTATTTGAAAGGTGTCATCCTCCTGTTGCTGACCTCATGCCTGGGCAGGGTCTAGAATGTAGATCCACAGCTACCTAATGCAGCTGGGCATCCACTGCCTGAGGTGTTGAGATGTAAGGAGAAACATGTTTGTTAATTGCCAGGATTGCAATTCAAAGTGCGCCACCGTGACAGTTTCTGTGTTTCCTGGGGTGATTTTGCTAGATGTGGTGGTGCTGGTTGTAGTATTTCTGCTTTAAAAGGAAACTAACCATCTGCTGCTGAGATGGGTTTGGGGTTGAATCAGCTTTGCATGTATGAATGGTGCTGACTTGGGCTTAATCAAGCCTGCGTTTGATTTGTATGTGTGAATTCTTAATTTCTGTCAAGCTGCTAAGGATAGAGGAGGATGTGCAGTGGTATGGGGAGCACATGCCTAAGGGCTTTCTTTGGGAATCAGTTTTTATTTTTTGTGTTTTGGGAATCTCTATACTCCGGAAATCTTCCTCTCCTTTCCCCAGCTGCAGTTTGAGTCCTGTTTCTTGCTGCCAGCTCTCTCTGAAGGTGATGGAAGGAAAAGAAAAAAGCAAAAATAAACACACACACACACACACAAAAAGAAAACAGTGAGTAAAGGCAGTAGCTCTCCTGCCCTCCATAACAGTAGGACCCTTTGGAAAGGGGTGGAACCAGGCTCTGAGTGTTGGGAGTTGAGTATATGTGCTCAGCAATCTTCCCTGGCTGGGTTTGTGTGGCAGCTTCTTCGTGCTCTGAAAGCTCACGTGGGACAAATCCAGGGCTGCAAGGGCTGTGGTCTTTGGTTTGATTCCACCTTGGACACAGACTGGATGTGCATGAGGAGGAGCATCAGAACTCACGGTCCGTACTGAACGTGGAGTTACTTTTTAGAGATGGCTCTGTGCTCCTCCACGCAGTGCTTACTGATGTTACAGTTCCTTGTTGTTCTGGGCCAGAGCTGCCCTCGGCAAGGATTGCCTTGTTTCACGTGGGTTTTTTTAGAGCTTTTTATCCTTACGAAGGCCTTTCTCTGTTTTATCATGGCAAACTGAGTGTTCTGAGGGACTGTGCCCAGGTTTTCTGTTACATCCTTTGCTAACTCATCCTGTGGACATAGCCTGTATTAAATCTTTTATCCAGAGCTTTTTGTCTCCTTCAATCTAAGACAAATACCTTTTTTTTCTTATAACGAAGGCACCAAAACGGACACAAGTCAAAATCATCAGGAATTTGTTTATTGTCTCTGGAGAAAATAAAGAAAGGTTATTTCTTAACTCCTGCAGATGTGCTTTTTTTTAATTTGCTGGTCTCGGTGTGCCTTCTGCAGCAAGAAGGCCGTGATTTGAGGGAAAACTGCCGTTCTTTCCCGCTACCGCCGCTCCTGGAGTTGGAAATCGGAGTGTGGCCGCTCAGCCCGCAGCCTCCATTGGAGCTGAAGTTCTCGCGCATGCGCCATGATGGCGCGCCGCCTCCCTTCGGACCGTCGGGCGCGGAGTGCCGCCACGGGCGCTGCCACCAGGGGGCGCTGCAGTCCCGCCTGGCGCTATGCCGGCCGAGCCCTGCCGTGAGGTGCGAGGCGCTTTGAGGCGGCAGAAGGGGATCCTCGCCTCGGGCCGCGGGAGGGACGATGTAGGAGTTATCGTTTGGTTTGATGCCAGTTTGGAGGAAAAAAGAAAATGCCAGACGCTGTAAAGTAACACTGATTTGCCTGTTCCGTGTTTTAACGATTTGTGGCAAAGTGTTCGCTGTCAAATGCAAGCTTTTTTAGCGTTGTAATTAAAGGTAATTGCTTTAGCGAGGTCTTGTGCAATTGTAAGAATCGGGTACCAAGGAGAACAAGCTTTCAAAGCCCAGCGGAGCACCACGGCTGGGCACAGAGGAGGTCCCTCAGCCCACAATGGGCGCTGCTGCATGGAGGCTCTCTGTGCTGCACTGAGACTGCAGGCGATGGCACTTGTTCCCCAGCCTGAGCAGGAAGGAGTGAACAGTTTCACCAAGCACTGGTAATCTGCTTCAGAGAGCTGCTGAGTGGAACAGCCGGTCGTAAATCTTCCTTTGCAGTGAAAATTTGTGTTCGGTTACACTCAGAATGCCTCGTAGCAGCTGCAGCTTTCCTGTGCCTTTAGAGATGCAAAAATGCTGTATAAATTTCTCTTCAAGGAAGAAAAGGAACAAGAAGGAATGAGGCAGATCCTCTTGGGAAGCAGAATTTGTTTTTCTAATGGCGGTCTAGAAGGAGATTTAATTAAACAGAATCAATTATTTTAACATTTTATGTAACATATTTAGGTTAAAGGTAGAAAGATCACAGTGGGAATTTGTGCTGCTTGTGCTCACCAGAAGCTGCAGAACGCTTACAGGCGGTAATAACAGGGCCGTGCTAAATGCATGCAGTTTTTTAGGTAATGGATATGAGCTTTTGTGCGACCTTTTCAGGGAATTCTGTCCATCTGCCATTTCTCAGGGCATCTCAATTTTGTGAAAATTCTCAATGAACTTCTCGTCGATCTCAACATCTCCAAGGACTTTTGTTCGTTCCCATTGCTTGTTACGTCACACTTCTTACAGCATCTCTTGGTTCTGTACTGTGCAGTAATTTCCCTGAAGGAAAATGAAATTTTGCAGTGAGCAACAGCAGAGAAAAGGCTTGTGGTCTCCAAAATGTCTGCCCCGCTTCCAGGAGGCCCCAGATACGGACACCTTCAAGATGCACAGAGGAACCCCCGTCTCTTCTTCGTCTCCAAACTCTCCGTAGCTGTAGCTCTGTAATCGCTATTTCTCCAACATTTAAGTCCAGATGTGTTTATGAGGAGAACGCAGGAGCCCAGCCCTGCCTTGCGGCGCTGCTCTGGCACCGGTTCTGCCAGCCCAGCTGTTATTGCGGTGGCAGACATCACGGACCCCCCCAGCTATCACCGACCCTCCCTGGCCGCACCGCTCCTCGCCCGGCCTTCACCGCAGCTCCCGCGATCCCACACCGCGCATGCGCGAACATCGGCGCAGGCCCGGACCGCCCTCCGGCGGCGGCGCATGCGCAGCGAGCGGAGCGCGGCGCAGGAGGCGCGGTTTGTCTCCTGCCGGCGCTGGTAGCGGCTGCAGCTCCGGCCGCCCCCCGCCCCCGCTTCCTCTGAGGAGCGAATGGAAAGTCCGGCCCCGGCGCCTTCGGTAAGTGAGGCCCGCCGGGATCGGGGGGCGGCCGGGCACCCTTCTTCCCTCCTTCTCTCCCCTTCCTCCCCCTTCCTCCGGTCCCGCGGGCCTAGGGCCCGAAGCTCGGCGGTCCGGTTCCGTCGGCGGGGGCGGCCGCGGAGGAACGGGCCTTCCGCGCGGGGCGGGGCGGGGCGGCCGGGACGGGCCGCGGCCTGTGGGAGGACCGCACCGAACTGTGTCCGGCCCGCCCCGGTTCCGCACACAAAAGGCGCTCCTCGCTCTCGGCAGCGCGCTTCCTATCGGCGCGTAGTTAATTGGGTGCTTTCGCTCGGCCGCGAGCGTGACCGAGGTATAATAATCAACATAATAGGGCCTTGTTACTGGCGACGGGCGATATCGCTTGGATCTTAATTGCTCGGTGTCGGAGTTACGAAAGAGTCGCGGTGCCGCTCTCCCTGTGCAGCCTTCGGGTGGAGCTGCCGTGCGGGGAGCCGAGCTGCCGTGCGGGGAGCCGTGCGGAGCACCGTGCTGCCGTGCGGGGCTGCTCCCAGGCTGGGCTCGGGGAAGGTAGCGGCTGTTTGCGCTGAGAGCTGCTCTCTTTTCCTCGGGCTGCTGCACGAGTCCCAGCGCAGCGCAAGCTCTCGATGCTGTCAGCGGAGTTTTGTTTTGGTCGGTGGTTGCAATTGAAAATCAAAGCGTTTTTGGGTGTCTGGATACCTCGGCTCGATAAGTAGTGCTTTCAATGAGATGCTGTTTGCGTTGGTTTTCATCTCGTTACGGGATTGGTCTTCTGAAGGCAGAGGAAGGTACCGGGCACTCTGCTCGAGTTTATTTGATGGGGAGATTTTTCACGACACGTTTTTTCTTCAAGAGCACTATCAGTAGTCACCCAATGTATGTCCACATTTGATGTGTTTCCAGTTAGCATTGACTGAACCTGCCTTATGTTCTAAGTGTACTGCATTCTGAAGAAGCCAGTACTGAATGTTGTGAGCAGTGAAGTGCTAGGGATAACAAATGTAGAAGGGCAGGTCCTTGGGACAATGGAGACCATTCGTTCTTGAAGCTACGAAGAAAATAAAGAATATGTACTTTTTATTATTTTAAGTCAGTTTAGCTAGCTTGGAGGAATATATAATTTACAAACTATTTGAGAGTACTTTCTTAGTTAGAACAACTAGAGAAGTTAGGGAAATGTATGAGAGATTGAAGTGAGTTTGTGTCAGTATAGTTTTCACATGATCTGACTGAAGTAAAACTGCAAGGACAGGGTAACTGAATTCTTATTGAAAACATGTTCTTTCATGTAGTTACTGAAGAGTTTCAGTTACAAACAATATTTGCCTTACCTGCATTTCTGTTTCTATGTATTTCTTCAGTGTATTCTGTAAAAACAAATCATCATATACTATTGAGAATGCACCATGGTAATGGTCCTCAGAATGCCCAGCGCCAGCTCCAGAGGTCCAGGTCCTTCACGGGCAGTGAGGGAGAAGAGCAACAAGCAAATCTACCCCAGTCCCCTGCAGCTTCTTTCGCACCTTCTGCAAGTCCATCTGCACCCCAGTCCCCCAGCTATCAAATTCAGCAGTTTATAATGAGTAGAAGCCCAGTGGCTGGTCAGAATGTGAACATCACGCTGCAGAACGTCGGGCCGGTGGCTTCGGGAAACCAGCAGATCACACTGACACCACTGCCAATTCCAAACCCGACATCGCCCAGTTTTCAGTTCAGCCCTCAGCAGAGGCGCTTTGAGCATGGATCCCCATCGTATATCCAGGTCACGTCACCGCTGCCCCAGCAGGTTCAGTCGCAGAGCCCCACGCAGCCCAGCCCCGTGCCGGTGCAGACGTTACCGAACGTTCGGGCAGGTACGCCGGGCCCCGGCTTGGGTATGTGCAGCCAGAGCCCTACCAGAGGATTTGTGGACGCCAGCGTGCTTGTGAGGCAAATCAGCTTGAGTCCTTCGAATGGCGGGCACTTTGTGTATCAAGAAGGGCCGGGAATCGCACAGATTGCTCAAGGAGCTGCAGCGCAGGTGCAACTTCCATCTTCTGGGACGCCTGCTACGGTAAGGGAGCGCCGACTTTCACAACCTCATTCACAGTCCGGTGGCACCATTCATCATCTTGGTCCTCAAAGTCCTGTAGCTAGCGGGGCAAACATGCAATCCTTGACTAGCCCGGGCCATATCACAACAACGAGCTTGCCACCCCAGATCAGCAATATTATCCAAGGGCAACTTATGCAACAGCAGCAGCAAGTGCTTCAAGGACAGCAGCTGAGCAGACCCATTGGCTACGACAGGGCTTCTGGGGGATTAATAGCTGGAGTTGGAGGCCCTGGTGCGTTTGGAATGACATCGCCACCGCCTCCCACGAGTCCTTCACGGGCCACGGTGCCACAGGGGCTGTCAAGTCTTCCTCTTACGCCTACGGTTAACACGGCAGTGAAAAAACAACCCAAAAAACTGGAGGAGATACCTCCTGCCAACCAAGAGACTGCCCAAATGAGAAAGCAGTGTTTGGATCACCACCACAAGCAGATGGAAATTCTTAAGGAAACTTTTAAGGAATGTTTGATTGAACTGTTTTTCCTGCAACATCTTCAAGGGAATATGATGGACTTTTTAGCTTTTAAGAAGAAACATTGTGTTCCCCTGCAAGCCTACCTGAGGCAAAATGACTTGGATCTAGAGGAAGAAGAAGAGGAAGAACAATCTGAGGTCATCAATGATGAGGTAAGGATCTGTTAATATTTTGGGTTTAAATAGTGGGTGAAGTTGTGGCACCTGAATTGCAAAGCATTAGCTAGTGTGATGGTACCTGAAAACTCGTTTTTATTGATGAAATAGGGCAGTTATATAAGAAGGTTTGAGAGAATGCCATTCTGCTTGGTGGTGTGATGGGACAAGTTGGTTTGAGCACACCGTCAGCTGCAAAAGCAAAGTAAGCAAAGTACAGAGAGCTGAAAGCAACTTTCACTGTCCCAGTCAGTATGTAAGCCTGCACACAAACGTAGGTGGCTTTACTATGAAAGCTGTTCTAAGCTTTCAGAATGAACGCATCGTAGATTAAATTTCACATTCTAGACTTATAAAAACCAAAAAAGAGTAAGCAAAAAGTCTCTTTATTTGGTTCTTACTGTTGCTGTGGCCAGCAAAAAACCCTGGAGTAATCTAATTATAATGTGCATGGGTTCATAGTAATGAATTAATTTATTTGGAGCGTCTTATTGCTTTGTGCCTGCATTGCGGTCTGAGTGATAAAACCCAACTTGTACTTGGACATTAACTTTGTTATTTTGTGCAAAGATTTATAACAACTAAAGAATTTGGATGCACTGTTTATTTACTATTGGCAAATGACTTGCAATAAGCTTGCTGCTAAGAGTTGCCCTCTTTGCAGAGCAACTTTTCCTGCATGCTTACTCCTACTTGTGTGGATCCTGACCTGCAGCACAGGGCACCTCTGGGTGCTGGAGCAATGCCTGTCTGGCCAATTACATGACAAGTGGCTGCAACAGTGTTGCTGTAACTGATGGCACTGTGCAGAGAAATACCTTCAGAAATGCGCAGAAGTAAATATGGACATAAATATGCCAGTTTGTAAAAAGATGAAACAAAACCAGTTACATAAAATTGGTATTGCTTTGAAATATCTATTAGAAATCAAAGTATTCAGGGAACGTTGGTGCTTTTATGTGATTGCATCTCCTGCTGGAATTTGGGCAGAATTTTAATGTTATAGTAGAGAAAGTTCACTGTTTTGTAGTTAAGTTTCTTGACTAGGAAACCATTTCTTTCAATATTCAGTAACCTCAAAGCTATTGACACTGGAATCCAGTGAGTTTTCCCTTGGTTTGCATTTTGTCCAGCTTTTTGGGTGTTCTTGTTCTTCCTTTTAACTACATACGTGAGTTTTGAGAGAGCTTGGGTGGCTGTGAATTGTACAAGGTCACTGAAATCGGTGGCACTGCTACAATTTACATCGGTTGAGGCTTCACCCCTCTGTGCTCTTCAGACCCTCTTTTGTCTGTGACGGCCGTTTGTCAGTTTAATGCTGCAGAATGTTGCAGCCTGCGATGGCAAAAGTCTGTGTGCTTTCAAACGACGAATCCTTTTGAGAGATTAAGACTTCTTTTGAGTATGTTCTTTGTATTTTTTTTGTCTCCTCTTTTATTTCCCCCTCCCTTTCTTTATCACTTCCTGCTCAAGCAAAGCGCTTCATCCCTTGCCTGGAAGGGCGATCGCTGGCGGCTCCAGGCAGAGCGAATGGTGGCTGTGCTCATCGCTTGAATAAATGTTGGAGCTCTCTTCAGTTCAAACTGTCTGTCATGCTGATTTGTTGTCTGTTAGGAGCAGCAGTCATTAAATTTAAACCACGCTTTTATGTAAACTGGATTTACGGAAGGTTTGCAGCGGTGGGAAGCTGCTGTAGATAGTGAAGGCTGGCTCTGCTCTTTGCAGTGAGGCAGAGCTCGTCCCAAGCCACGCTGCTGGCTGCCTGGCTGTCAGCTCCTCTTCAGTGAGGGGCCGTCTGCACTGCTGGCGTGTTGGGCAGCCAATAAAAAACAACAGCAAACAACAAAGAAGAAAAAAAAACTTTTAAAAAGAAAATGATTCTCCCTTCTTTTTTTTTTCCCAAAATATTTCTCTCAGGTAAAGGTTGTGACAGGAAAGGATGGGCAGACTGGTACTCCTGTCGCTATAGCAACCCAGCTTCCTCCAAATGTTTCTGCTGCTTTTTCATCCCAGCAGCAACCATTTCAGGTACTTTTCAATGGTTCTAAAATGTAGTTTCATCCCAGATTTTTTTTCTTCATTCAGATTTGATATTTCTTAGATGAATTAGAATTTTCCCTAGAGCCCATCCCTTATCATCTAAACAAAACCAAAAACACTTTGCAATCTTCAAATGCATCAATATTAATGAAGCTCTGAGGAAGTTGCATCTTTGTCTCCAGGTTGCTGGCTTATTTCATTAACTTTCAGCTTGAATGTTTTTGCTTTGGTTTGTTTGTCTTTTGTTTCCCTAATTTTCCCTAATGCATTTGTTTCGTTTGTGCATTCTGCATAGTGATAACATGGATTCTTTTGTCTGTGGCGTTGTAATTGTGGATTTCTTCTAAATTTCCTTCTTTCTTTTTTTTCTTTATGTATTAAAGGTTTTGAGTATGACTAGAGAAGGTTTGGTGATACCTTCTGTGAAATGTTTCAAATGATGCTGATAACCCTCTAATGGTATTTTTTAAATAACTAACTCCTTTCCATTAGCTCTGACATAGATGTTGGGAAGAAGAAACTGAAGTGTTTAACTTCGTTGTTTAAGTCTTTTTTTCTTTTAACATGAAAGAACCCTGAACAAAGCAGAGATTCTGTCTAAATCTAATAGGATTTTTTTTTTTGTATGTGGATCAGTGATGGTAGATACTTCAAAGTGGAGCAGCTGAGTGCTTATGCAGCTGCCCCCAGCCCTGTGTTCCCAGTCTGAGAAGTCCCATAGCCATACCCTTGTTCCCCTGCAACCACAGTTTTTACCTTTTAGATGAATCGCCCACACTTAAACTATGTGTCCCATGATGAGTTACTGTCCTGTGCCTCACCAGCTGTATGGACTGCACTGCCTTCCTCCTGGATTTGGGACAGGGAGAGTTAAATGTAGCGTAGGGTGGATTGTGAACTCGTGTGTAACAAGCAGGCTGTTCTCAGTGTCATTTCAGCAGTGAGTTGCACAGTGACAGCTCTCACTGACAGCTTGATGTTGTGGTCCATGCTGACACATTCATGAACTCTTCATCTAGGCTGTTCAAAGGATGTCACACTGTACCACGTTACTGATGGCAGTGGTTGGGTTCACCTCTGGGCTCTGGCTACACCAACAAAGAAGTACTTCTAGAAGCATTGGACATTTCAGAGGTGTTCTGGAGCATGTGCTCACATTGTATAAAACGGAGCGGAGGTGACGATACGCTTCAACCCCAACTGTTAGCAGCTCTTCCCTTCGGGCTTTGTCTTTGTAACTGTTTACAGAGTAATAATCTGTCCTGATCAGCATCATTCAAATTGGGTGTGAAAGTGCAGCACCTGGAATGGTTAGTGGGAGTGTGCTGCATAACCATGACCTCTGGAGAGCCACGTTGCTTTAATGAAACTTAGGACAGTTTTAGCCTAATGTAAGTGGTACGTGACTGCGATTTGTAAAGATGTGCTTCCTGCTCTTTGAAGTGCCTTGTCTGAATTAGGTGGTGGTGATGCAGACAGCTGGAGGCATGCACTTCAGAAAATGCCAGCGAAAAATCCTGAGGTAGACACGCATCCAGAAAATGGCAGAGAGTGGTCATCCAGAGTCAGAGTGCAGATAAGACAAAGTAGCATTTGGAGCAGTTTGCAGAAAGTATCTCCTCCAGTTGGTGCTTCAGAAAGCATTGATTTCCAACGGCGCATTGACAGGATTTGTTAATTAGTTCAGGAGCATTGTGCAAAGCACATTTCTGTGACTTATTCTGAATAATTCTCCAAATGTTTATGCATCTCATGCTCTGCCAGACGTTGGCCATTGAACTTGAAATGTGCTGCATGTTTGCCTTGTGATAAAGCAGATGCTTGGAAGCTTGGTCCATTCTGGGTGATATGGCAGTGAGCAGTGAGCACTGGGTGTGGGTGCAAGACAGATGTTTTTAAAATCAGAATTCCCACCTAAGAGTGTGGCAGTGTCAGTAGAGCAGCCAACAAACGTCCTCACAGCAGCAAAGAGGTTGGAAGTTATTAATTCCTAGTTATTGATAGAATCTGAGTGCTGTGAGATGCACAGACCTCAGAAAGCTGTGTTTGAAACCCGGCCATTCTAGGTGGCCATGGTCTGGTTATTGGTATTCAGTGAGGCAATGGGGATAAAGGGTGGTGGCTGCTAGTTAATTTCAATATAGACTGGTGTTTATTTCCTTGGGCTTAACTTACATTGGCAGAATTTCTATTTAAAAATTAGTGAAAAAAAGACCTGTAAGTAAACTAGAAGATTCTTCTGGGAAATTTCTGTCTTTGCTATGTTGTCATAATGTTTCTTCACAGTGGTTACTATAGATGGATGTGGTAGAGGTTCTCACTGCAAGTTGTGTGTGGAGAACTGGAGGAGGTTTAGATAAGCTCGTTTTCTAGGGTATAGAGGTTACAATACAGAAAGGCTGCTTTTTTATTTTCTGACAGAGTCTGTGAAACCCTTTCTTCGGATAGCCCTTATTTTTCTCATGGTAGGTTTTATAGAAGAATATTGGACTTAGCATGGCAAAAATTGAGGAGAATTTAAAAGTAAGGTTCAGAAATGCGCTGAACAGAGCTGGACTCCTACAAGCACTGGTGGCATTAATAACTTGCCAGCGAAACTGAGAGCCCAAGGAACATGGAAATCATCCTATAGCCCCAAGTTTGATTTGATAAATCTTGCATACGTGTCTGCTGTTTGGGTCTGACACTGAACGAGTTTTCCAGGAGATGTTACCTGCCATCTTTGTCAATATCAATTGCAGTAACATGAAAATAAAGTCTTCATGCACTGCGTAATCTTGCTGAAGCTAAGCTCCAACTTGCTGAATCAAAGCCATCTTGATACCAGCAGTGCTTCTCAGTTTGCAGTGCTAATTCATAGCTGCATGATATTTATGCTCCAACGAAATGTCTGGCATTTTCTGACATGCTCTGAGGTGACATTAGAGTTACAGCAATATTGTGTTTCTCTTTGTAATATTACTTAATGAGTGTCATTTTGCCAACCAATACAACAAACACAAGTCTCGTGGCTGGAAAACTGGAATTGAAATTGGCAGATTGGCTGAGACTCTTTTATTCCATCTTTTATTCTTAGCCATTATTCCTGTAATGCTTCAAGTCTAAAGCTTGTGGAGTTCCGTCCTGAGAGTGACAGTGGTGGAGACCCACGTAAGCTTAAAACTATCTTCAGGATGAGAATTAATTAATTGATGATGTTTCGCAGTGAAAAGGATTAGCTTTCACAAATGCATTGACTCTCTGATATTTGTATTGTCTTAATTACGACAGTTTCTGCATAAATTCTTTTTCCTCATCTAGTTTCCCTTCTAATTAATCCTACAATGAAGACGCAGTCTTTAATTTCTCTTGTCAGCCTTTTATTGCAGCTCTAAAGCTATATGAATATGTTGTTCTAATTTCATTGCAGCCTTGTGCAAATGGTAAAGAAAGGGTGATACATTAATAAAAACATCCATTTATTAAAAATGAAACTAAATTGTAAACGTGTTCTGTGTGTAACCACCTTCTTCTGTTCAGTTGCAATTTCGAGATTTGAACTGATCAAAGACTATCAGTGCAACATGGGCATCTGAAACCGTCTGGCAGATATTGAACCAGCCTTGCTTTCTTCATTATACCACTGTTCTGAAGGCTTTGTTCTGTGATGGTCTCTGTAGATCCATTTGTAAATTAACATCTTGGTGCCAGACTACCTACAGATTGAACTTTTGTGATTTTTCTTTTTTCCCAATAGCAAACGCATACAGGGACTCCAGTAACAGGGACTGTGAACACCATAGAAATGGAGGCTTTTAAGAGACAGCAGACACTGGCACCGGCAGGTATGTTTCTCAGGAAGAAGTTGAGTTCATTTTCCTTATTACTTTTCTTTCCAAACAGTTAACGGAGCCCACTGTTCAGTGATTCTTGAAACACAATTCTTCACAGATCCTCAGGACTATTTGTTGTGAACGGTGCCGCGTTTACAGCGCACTCTGCTCACAATACATAGGACTGGGTCTGGCGAGCATGGAGGTGCTGTTAGGTTGCTTGTTCTGGCTAAGAAGATTGGAGATGGCCAACTGGAAGTTGAAGGGACCCTGCCCTTGGAGCATCTTCTTCATAAATGCTACACATGTATAGTAGTCGTAGCTTTCTGAGCTAGCGTTGGAATCATGTGTAGTAGATTGCTTTGTAAAACAACCCATTCCATTGTACCATGCCATAAATGGAATTTGAATATCACAGATTCGTCTAAGAGACCACGAATTGAAGTGGGCCGTCATGGGATGGTTTTTCAGCATCCGGGTGTGGCTTCAGGAGTTCCGCTTCAACAGCTAATGCCAACGGCACAAGGTACTGTGTCACCACATGCCAGTTGCACATTAATTTAACAAGGAGACGTTAGTGATGGGACTAGAAACTTGGGCTCCCGGCCTTCCAAGATCCTGGCCCCACCACCTACCTCTCCTTGTAAATTAATACTTGGTATGCAATGCCTGGTTCGTTTAAGGAGCTGAGTGACGGGCTCCGGAAGTGCATGTGGGCATGGAAATACGTCACAGATGCTGATGCAGAACATTTAATTTGAGAATTCTGGACCTGAGCCAATGGTTTGTGAAAAGAAAAACCTCCTCTAATTTGCAACTTTCAAGAAAAAAATTTATTCGTTATTTGTGCCAAACTTCAGACTAAGCAATAGAGTCAATGTGCTAAGAACTAAGTTTTATTTAGATTAAATACAGTTACTTTAGGTGAAATTTCCATTTGCTCACCAGTCCTTTTTTTTCTTTTTTTTTTTTTCCTTTAAGTAGAGGACATTCAGAAGACATCTAATAATTTTTTTTTTGTAGTTACCGTGCTCCAAATTTTAGTTACGGTCCTGTGCATGGAATGTTTCATTGTTTATTGTAATAGTGATTTATTTTGTGATTGTGATGTGGTATTTTCAAGTGATGGTGTCTTGTGGCAAAGTAAGTAACAAATTAGTCTATTTGCAGTTGGTTTCCTCTTTATATGAGTAAAGAGCACTGGACCCTCTGATTTAATCTGGGTTGTTTCTTTTTGCTTTGTAGGTGGAATGCCTCCCACTCCTCAAACGGTGCAGCTGACTGGACAGAAACAGAGCCAACAGCAGTACGACCCTTCCAAAGGCCCTCCTGTGCAGAACGCAGCAAGTCTGCATACGCCGCCGCCGCAGCTGCCTGGGAGGCTGCAACCTGTGAATGTCCCCATGACGTCTCTTCCAGCTGCACTGCAGATTTCGCAGCAGCAGCCACAGATAGTGGAATCTCCGACTCAGCCCCAGATTCAGGTGAAGATCCAGCCCCAAAGCGTCCCCCTGACTTCCGCTCCGCTTCCAGCTCCGCTTCAGCAGCAGGTGCCACCAGCAATCCATGTACAAGGACAGACACCCAACCAAGTGCCGCAGCCGCAGGCTACAATACAGCAACAGGTATGTGGACGTTGTTGAGGTGAGAATAAATCTGTATTTGGGCTCAGTACAGTGTGAGAACACTGTCTCCTTGAAAATATGTGCGCAACACAGGTATTTTAAAATTAATGCATCTGTGGGTAGCCTGCAAACAAGAAGTCTTTCCTTATACAAACGCAGGTGTGAATTTTTTTTTTACAGAATTGAAGTCTTTGTTACGTTTTGCTGACATGTAGACTAAGGCAGTGATGAATACCAAACTCATCACTAACAGATGCGTTTCTTGGGCAGGCTGTGACTCTGACACGACCATCTGCAGATCCTGTTCAGACTCCTCAGCGTCTTACAGCAAATATACTACCGCCTACCTCATCTGTTGCACCAGCAGCTATCTCAGGCACAGCACCGCCTTCTACGTATCCAGTACAAACAAACAGGACCTCTCCTGCAACTAACAAGTCCCTATCTCCTATTGCATCAAAACCCCCAGGCTTAGCGGTGGCAGCAGCACCTAAAACTCAAAGTCCAGCTCAGAATGCAGCAGTATTGCCACAGGACAATTCTCAAGACAAGCTTGCTGAGCAAGTCAAGCTGGTAAGTATTTTTTTTTTCTGAAATCCTGTGAACAGTTAGCACATACATAGGATAACAGTTAATACAGGCAGTGTGCTTTAAGTTTGACATCGCAGAGAACTTGGTCTTTTTTTCGGTTTTCATTTTTCGCCACAAAATCAAGTTGTATTAACAATGAAGATGTATTTTTCTTTTGTGTTTTGCTGTGGATAAATGTAGCTGCAGTTTCAATTTATTAAAGAATGGGTGGTTCGAGTGCAGCTTACTTGTCTCATAAATCGTTTATTGGACTTTCTGGTGAGCCTTTTTATCCTGCTATTTATTAAAGTACCTCTTCTAGTAAAGGTTAAAGGACTGTTTTGCATAGGTTGAATTTAGTTTAATGTTATTTCCATTAGTGTGGTGTTCAGACATGGGTTTTGTTTCATGCTGTTACGCTTTTTTAAAATTTTGTTGCTGTCGATGTATATTGATTGAGTATTGAGCAGTTATTTTTGTATTTGGCTATTTTAAGTGTATTCTGCAGATCCTTTTAACTATATGTGCTTCTTTTAAAGGAAAATCAAATCCATCAGCGAATAGCAGAACTTAGGAAGGAAGGCTTATGGTCGCTGAGGCGACTGCCTAAACTCCAAGAGGCTCCAAGACCCAAATCTCACTGGGATTATTTGCTAGAAGAAATGCAATGGATGGCGACTGATTTTGCCCAAGAGAGAAAGTGGAAGATGGCAACTGCTAAGAAGGTACTTGAGATACCTACGGTTTTGAATCAGAGCAGTTGATCTTGGCTTTAGCCAAGAGTCGATCTTCAGCTTTATTGCAAAGCTGTTTAGATGTGGTCATTGTTCTTCTATTTTCCTCTATGGCTGTAAGTGATGAGAATACAGAGCACTGATTTTCACTTAAATGAGAAGCCATGTTGTCAGCTTTGTATATCCTGGATTTGACATGGACCTGATAATTTTATTGGCTGCAAATGCATGTAGAGTACAGGGGCAGCGGTTAGAGAACTGTTTCTGTAGGGGAAGAGGGTAACGCAGCAAGTATCATTCATGTAGCAGTGGGATGAAAATTGGAGTGATGAAATATGTGAAGTCTGCTTACAGTCTTTAACAAAGAAACACACAGGGCAGATATAAAATCGTCCTTTCCTGGGCAGCTATTTGGCAACTATTGCTTTACTGACATGGTAAGAATTAGTAATCATGGAGCAAAGTGCTAACATTTTAAAACTACTGTCAACATCTGCCTACCAACATAAGCTTCAGAAATACAATGATGTGTATTCTGAAATAAGCTAATTCAGTATTCATGGCATTGCAGATGGTAAGAACTGTGGCACGTTATCATGAGGAGAAGAAACTTAATGAAGAGCGAGCTAAAAGGGAAGAACAAAACAAACTAAGGCGAATTGCTGCATCAATTGCCAGAGAAATAGAATACTTCTGGTCTAACATTGAGCAGGTAAAATGTCGACTTACTGGTATGTCAGTGGGTCACACTGTTGGCTTTTGGTTTTTTTTTTTTTTTGGTCTTCAGTAACATATTTATAAAAGTGAAGCATTTTATTAGACTTTATTTACCTTTTAGGTTGTTGAGATAAAACTGCAAATTGAATTTCAAGAGAAAAGGAAAAAAGCTTTGAATTTAAAGAAAATTTCAAGAAAAGGTAATTGTGTTTCTTTTTGTAAGAAATTCAGTATAAATTCTGCTGCTGTTTCACATAGTTTCATTCAGTGGGTTTTCAACTTGCTGGTAATAGAATTGTGCGGTGCTAATAGATCATGTTCAGATCTGAGCTGTAAGTTGTGGTAATCTTTTCCACTTGATTTTGTTAGTACCAATTCTGTTTTCTGTTGAATACTTTTAGAAGTTAATGCAAGAAGTGTAAAATGGCTAAATGACTAATAGAATCATGAAGTGGTTTGGGTTGGAAAGGATCTTAAAGCTCATCTAGTTCCAACCTCTCTGCCCCAGGCAGTAACACTTCCCATTAGAGCAGGTTGCCCAAAGCCCCATCCAGCCTGGCCTTGGACCCTCTAAGGGATGGGGCATCCACAGCTCCTCTCAGCAGCTTGTTCCACTGCCTTACCACACTCATAATAAAGATTTTTTTTCCTACTGTCTAATCCAACTCTATGTTCTTTAGTTGAAAACCGTTACTCACATCAAGAGTAATAATTTTTCAGGTAAGGATGCAAAATCTTCAGAAGACCTTCTGTTGGAAAAAGAAAGTGAAATGGTAAGTCCTTCTGTCTCTTTAAAAACAGAGCTTAAATGTCACTGCCTGCATGACAGCCAGTTTTGATAAGTGTGAAGCATCATCCCTGAGTATACAGTGCTGACAAACAGGTTACTGTCATTAGAAAATACTGGATTGTAGCTGATATGTGTCTGTTAAAGGAAGTATTCATATTTATTCAGTGGCTTTGAATCAGGCCTTGTAAGATTTTAAGACCAAAAAAATACACTGATTGCTAGACTTTATTTTGGGCAGGAATTTCTTCTGCTGTAGCCAGGGGTAAACTCTGTGAGACGTGAAAGTGTGTATTTGTCTCTTCTTCAGCCTACTAGTTTATCTTCTGACATAGCTAGATACATGTTACAGAGTGCATTAAACCAAACCAAACTTAAATGTCTTTGGCCCTAGATGAAACGTGTGCTGGGACTCTGCAAGGGAGCGGTGAGGTCAGGGCTTGAGCAGGTGCTCAGTCAGCACTGCTGATTGAGCACCTGGTGAAGGGGCATGGTTGGCCGGTTGGCCCAGGGAGCACAAGCAGATTGTTTGCACCTGTGCTCCCCACCTGAGCAGAAGGGGTGGAGCCACCCTGAGCTCATATAAGGGCCGGCCACTGGAGGAAGCGCAGCTCTTGGACTTGGGTGCTTCTTGAGAGGGAGTGCTGTACAGCCACAGGGCCCCTTCAGCGCTTGGGTGAGTTCAGCTGTGCTTTCTGTGTATGACTGTTGGCCTGCCTGGCAGTGCTTTGCCTGGTGTTATCAAGAACCCTTCAGAACCCTTCAGAATTTCACTTCTTCATGAGCGGAGCAAGCTCCTTGAGTCCATCTGTACGAGTGGGGAGAGGGAGCAGAGAATAGGCGAGGGATTGTTCTGTGGCTCTGAGCCATCTGCTGTGACACAGATGATACCTACTTGCTGAAGTGCTTCCCTGTTTCTAAGCAGAATGCTTGCGTCTGCATCTTCTGTTGGGAACAAGCTTTAGCCTGTGCTTCAGCTAAACTGCAGGCCTAATGCTGTCTGACGGCTATTTTGTGCAGGCTGGGCCATGCTGTGGTGTATGCTGGACACTTGAGATGGAATGATTGCAAACCAGCATGAAAGTCTGCATGTTATCTTTTTTCTGTTGACTAGCAAATACTTGAGTCTTTGATTCCAATCACGATAGCAGTTTTGTGCCTCAGTCCTGCTTTTAAGAGGAAAAGTCTTCTGCTACTCTGTGCCACAGCTGGGCCACAAACATTTGAAATGGCTGATTGCAGGCTGTCTTCAGTAGAGGGGCAGAATGTCTGCCTCTGTGTAAGTGGGCCAGGTGAAAATGGATGGCTGAGAGCTGTTAACGATCTTCTGAACCTGAGGTGGTCATTTGTTTCTGCAGTGTGCTTTTGTAGGTGGTGGTCTTTTGCAGGCTGAGAGTAACTAGTAGATCACTAAGTAACTCAGATGGATGTGTATCAACTCCAAAGGGAACTTTTACTTTTGAGTTTGCTGAAAGTGTATGTATTTAGATGGAATTACAGGGTTTGATATGCACTATGAAAAAAAAAAATCTTTTATCTTTGTTCTTAATATGAAAATGAGAGTTTGGCGACAACTGCTGGGGAGAAAGTAATTGGTTTTGACACAGGTACTGCAAATGTATTTCCAGTTTTGTTCTGTTTTTGTGTGACCAGGAAAGTGTTAATATGTGTTAAATGTCTATTAGTGATTGCTGCCATTGCAGGGCACTTGCATTCATTAAAAATACAAAAAAAAAAAAAAAAAAAAAAAAAAAAAAAAAATCCTAGCTTTGTTTTCTTTATGATCTTAAATATTTTGTTTATTGAATACTAGAGTTCCTCATCATCTGGGAGGAAAAGAAAGGCAAGCACATCTTTGACTGATGAGGAAGGTATGTCACTTCTCAAAGTTTTGTGTCTGTAGTATAGTGCAGAATAAGTTATATATCAAAACCTTGAAGCCACTGGTGTTGAGTGTGTTACTGCATGGACTGGATGCTTTTCACAAAACAAACAGCAACCCTGATCCACTTCTTAGATCAAATAGTCAACTGTGGAAAGAGCTTCATTGAAAACTTGGAAATAAATCTTTCCTTGGAAACAAAGTACTGTCTTTGCTGGTAGATCTTAATTCTGCTTCTCCTCATTCCTTTGTTTCTCAAACCTTACCAGTGGTCTTAAACTTCTCTTGAAGCTTTCAGTCTGAGTAACAATCTACTTCAGTGGCTTTCTTGTGGGGACCTTTCTGACAAGGAAAATCCCCAGTTTAAAGCTACAAAATAACCCGCCTCTGGGGTCCACTGTCAGCCATTGCTAAGCTGTTCTGCCTTCTGTCTCAAGACAGTAACACTTCTCTATTTTTCTTGTAAACTTTTTAACTTCTAGGCATAGCTACTTTCAGATTTTGTCTTCCATCTACACATCTTGTTCTTTTGGAAACCTGCTAATGTGATATTCTGTTAGTATGCTTGAAGGATGCATAGTTATAAACTTCCCAAATTATAATGAATTTTAATGCCACAGTTAGCATTTGTTTTGATTTTAGTTGAAGATGAAGAAGAAACAATTGAAGAACAAGAAGCTAAAGAAGGAAATATAAACCATCAAAGTGAATTGTCAAATCTGGTTAAGGAAGGTAAGTGTGTAGCTTCACTCTTCTCTCTGGAGAGTTCTATGACAACAGGAGAGAACATGGTGTAGTTATTGTATTTGTAAATAAGGTTTGTTTATGGGATGATGATGGGCATCTGTACTTGAGGAAGGAGTTTGAGTCCTTAACTAGTTTACAAGCAAGGTAAGTCGAGAAAGACTGAGCTTTTTGTTGTGAAAGAAAAGCAATGCTTTGACAGACTGAGTTTTAGTTATGTGTTATGTTAAATATTGAAAAACAGTAGTGTGTCAGACTGAATGCAAACAATTTGTCATTAGCTGTCTTGAGTATCTCAGAGGGGTTCTGTGGTACACCTGGCAAGTCTGAAATGATGCAGAAGGGCTGATGTTGGGGGCTATAGGAACTTGAAAGGTAAGGGGCTTTGAGACACAGTGTTTGGGCTGGCAGTTTGCTTTCTTTAGCAACTTAATAGCTGCTGTACAGAGCTTGGTGTATGCAAGTGTGCCATAGGGATCACTTCAGTTTTCGTGGTAAAACCTTGCTGATTTTCAGAAGCAAGCTGCCCACTAAGCTAGGCCTGCTTAGCAATTAATATGCAGTTTCCAAATCCATTTGTTTGGTCTGTTTGGCAGCTTAGTGGCTGCAGCCAGCTGGCTAGTTGGAGGGATTATAACTCTTGGCTGGGCAGCCAAGTTCCTAATTAGAATGTTTCTTGATTGATTGGCCTTTAACAGTGTGTACCTTCCTACCTCGACAAAACAAAAAAAAGATCATAGAAATTCTGGTCAGTGAGGCTGAGGTGAGGGTCAGTTTTGAAGCTCTGAAGTCTTCAACTGTCTTTCAACCCCTTTGATTTGTTGCTCCCTTTCCAACCAGTAGCTTACTGTCAGTTTGGATCTTGGGTTGTAGTGTAGTAAAAAGCAAGCTGGTTGAGCAAACTATTTGGTGTAATGCCAAGTGTTCTCTGTAATCTGTGTCATTAAATAAATACTGCTGTCCTCCAAGTAGTAATTACCTCTTCAATTAACTTCTGATTAGAGGACTGGTTTTAAACGAGTGAAGAATGTCGTGAGATTAAAAATAATGATATCATTTATTAAAAGCTTTGGTATTTATAAGCTGACGTGTTAACGACTTGCAGCTGAATTGCCTCTGGATGATTTGCTGAAGATGTATGAAGGTGCCTTTTCTGAAAGTTTTCACTGGCCCCAGCCTAAACCTGACAGTGAAGAGGACAGCAGTGAAGAAGGTAATTACTTTTTATCTCAGAGAAAATGTTAACTTACAAGTGAAGCAACTTGAATGACTCCAGGATCTTTGTTGAATTACAGGAGAAAACAAATATTGAGTGAATCTATCTGTAATTATTTTTATTTTTTAAGTGAGCCATGTTCTCTATAAAAATGAATGCAAAATACAGTGACTTTCTGACTAAACGTTTAGGAAGGTTGTTAGATTTATTCCTGTTCTTACTAAATATTTTTAGATAATGGTCTGTAAAGAATTTCTTTTTTTTCATTACTCAGTTTATGAAAAGGGAATAAAATTTGCCAGCTTCAGTTGCATGTGAGACTCTCAGAAACAACAGTGAGCAATGAAGGAACTCTCCACACTAAATAAAACAGCACACATAATAGCTATTATTACATAGTTGCCATCTGTTCTACACTGAAGTGGTGATAAAATGAAATATTTGAAGATAGGCTTTAGGTATTATGAAAAGACCTTTATAGAAGTTGAAAAAAGCTGATGGTCCTGCTCACCTGCTGAATGGTGAACGTCTAGAAAATGCTGTGTTCCCAAGCTTAAGTCATTTTCATTTTAGCTTGTGATTGTCTCCCTGTACTCAGCTCTTCTCCCAGGGAACAGATGAGAAGAGGAAGTGGCCTCAAGTTGTGCCAGGGGAGGTTTGGGTTGGGTATTGGGAGAAACTTTGTCTCTGAAAGAGTGGTCAGACCCTGGAGGAGGCTGCTGCTGGTAGCAGTGGGATCCCTGGAGGTGTTCCAGAAACACGTAGCTGTGGTTCTTAGGGACGTGGTTGAGTGGGCAGTATTGGAAGTAGGAGGACAGTTGGATTAGATTATTCTGGAGGTCTTTTCCAACCTTAATGATTCTAGGATTCTATTTTATGATCTTCTAATTGTTTCTTTTTAGATTCCTATCTGAATGCTAGCCAGCTCAATTACTTTGTGTAGCTGCTTCTTAAGTTTATTTTCAATGCCGATGTCATTTATCTTTCATAGAAATGGATGACCATGCGACTGATAGGGAAAGCCCTCAGAAGGAAGTTGTCCTCATAGACTCACTGCTCAGCATTGACCAGTACAAGAGCATAGACAGATCAAGCCCTCCAAAGAAGCACATGCGAGACATATCAGAGGTTGCTGCAGCAGCAGAAGTGCTGTTACCTAAAGGCAGCTCTAGGATAACAACAGCGGTAAAGCTCCCTATTTCCTGCTACTGTGTGTGTTTTACATGAAGAATGCCTTCTGTGCCATTTAGCAGATTTTAGCCACAACTAACAGTAAATGTTTCCTGTTTATTGAACCTCAGAATGAATGTGTTTTGTTGTATGCTCTGTGAATTTAACTGGGAGTAACAATTCATTCTCACTACAGGTGAAATACAATACTCCATCCCTATTATATGGGCCTCTCAGAGAATATCAGAAGATTGGGCTGGATTGGTTAGCAAAACTGTATAGGAAAAATCTCAACGGCATTCTGGCAGATGAGGCTGGGCTTGGAAAAACAGTGCAAATTATTGCCTTTTTTGCACACTTGGCTTGTAATGAAGGTATGTTAATTTACATGATCTAAATCTCACGATTTTAGATAGGTACTGGGGGTACTGGGCCAGCACTATCTTGTCAACTGTAGCCTAAGAACACAAGTAGGCAAAGCTTATGGAACTGGTATCGTTTATTGGAGGTAACAAATAGATTAGCTACTTAATTTCATCTGCTGTTGAATCTCGCTTTTAATGATGAATGTAGTAATGCTTCACTTTAAAAATCAGGGTTGAAGATAAGTCAAGATAAATGATCAGGAGACTATTCCTGTTCTTAAACTGTAGGTAACTGGGGTCCTCATCTTGTTGTTGTACGGAGCTGTAACATACTGAAATGGGAGCTGGAGCTGAAACGCTGGTGCCCAGGGTTGAAGATTCTTCTGTACTTTGGCAGCCAAAGAGAACTAAGGGCAAAGAGACAGGTATTGTATTTGGCAACTCTTAGCCCGTTACGCTTTTCATTTTAGATGACTTTTAACCTGTATTTCTATGTGCTCCTTCCACCTTGATGGGGTATGAAAAGCTTTTAGGACTACAAGTTACTTTACAAGAAGACTTGCATGTAATGCTTCTAGGTTTGTAAAGCATCTCTGTAATCCCTTGGTATTGATGAACGCATTCAGTACTTAATCTGCTTTCTGAACCGACTGCAATGTAAGGCTCTCTTTTAGAATTCTTTGGGTCAGAGTATAGTGAAGATGTAGCAGGATGTAAGATACCAGAGCGTTCCGCCTCAACTTCTGTCTTGTCTCTTCTTCCCTCTTCTGTAGGAATGGTCAGAACCCAACAGCTTTAATGTGTGTATCACTTCCTACAAGCAGCTGTTCAAAGGCCACCCAGCGTTTATGAAAATGCGATGGAAATACTTAATAGTAGATGAGATGCAGCAAATTAAGAACATGACTGAGAAACACTGGGAAGCGCTTTTCAGTCTGCGCAGGTATGGAATAGAGCATTATTTTTGTACTGGCAGTGGCTTTTTCCTTTCTTAACATCTCATGAGTTTTCTGTTCAAAAAAAACCAACAACCAAACTCTAAGAATACTGTGGTCTGCCTGAATTCCCATACCCTTTAGCAGTACTCAGCTGTAGAGATATATCTGTGCTTGAAGCAGTGTGAATACAGAGAAATGCTCAGGATCCTTTAGTGGTCTCTGCTGTAACAATAGCACTCCTCTTAGCTGATCCATGCTTCAACAGAAGTTCTCTTGTATGTTCTTGTATTCTGCAATGAGGAAGCTAGTTTGATGGTATATTCAAGATTAAAAAGATGAATTATTCTAGATTGAACGTAGTTAGCACTGCTTATTTCAGGCAGACCTAAAGCTACAGTATTTGAACATGGGTCTCATTTTTATAATGATGCTATGTTGCTGAAAAGTGTTCTTTTACTGTTCACAGCCAACATCGCTTGCTTCTGATAGACACTCCTTTGCATAACACACTGATGGAGTTGTGGACCATGGTGCACTTCCTGATTCCAGGAATTTCCAGACCTTATCTAGATTTTCCTGTAAAAGCACCTAATGAGGAGAACCAGGATTATTGCCATAAACTGGTCATCAGGTTACACAGGGTACGTTGTCATTTTTTTTAATCTGTCCTTCTACAGTAGTTGTAGTGAAGGCTGTTGTGAAAATAAGGAAGAAAGGAAAATATAAGGTTTAGCTCTTGCTTTTTGGCCTTTCTTACTACTTTGGTCAGTTCAGACAGAGGAAAGTCCAGCTGGAAGCAGGATTTTCTGCTACTGTGAAAGAGGGGATGTTTGTTTTAAAAGCATAAGGCTCAGGTTTTGAAGCATAACGTGCAGAAATCAAAGAACAAGTAATGTTTGTACAGCAGTGTGCTTTCAGCTTGTGGCTTATGAGGCTTATCATGTAAAATATATTGGGTGTAAATGAATTTAGCTGCTTGTTGTAAAACCATCTTTGGAGTGAGAAGTTCTTAGTTCAGTTCTGAAATGTTTCAGATGATTCAGCCGTTTATTTTGCGAAGATCAAAGAGAGATGTTGAAAAGCAGCTAACAAAGAAATACGAGCACGTGCTGAAGTGCCGTCTGTCTAGTCGACAGAAAGCGATGTATGAAGATGTCATATTGCAACCAGGGTAAGGGGTTAAAATGGAATTAAAGATGCTCTCATTTCTGGTGCTTAAGCAAGATGATATGGTTAGGAAGTCACGGCTGGAATTATTTTTCTGGATGACCAATAGAATGGTTTTTCTACGTGACCGTGGAGTAGAATGAGATTTTGGTGTGAGCTCCAATGACGCTCGGTGTTGCTGCGAGCCTTATGAAAAATGCCTGCTTTCACATCCACGACCTAAAATTCAAATAGTAATTGGTCAGTTCTGCCTCTGTTTTAAGATTTTTCTCAAATGTGTGGTTCTGTGTTGTCTGAAGTCCAAAACGTGTCTGCCTTTACCCTCGGTTACTTGTGCTGTAATACCAAGTGGTTATTGTTGGGTAGTACAGACATAAAACAAAGGAATTCTGAGGATAGGGATACAAGGTTGTAGCTGACTTCAGGGTAGCACTGGTGCCTAAACATCATGTTTCCAAACTGATTTTTCCTGTAGTGCTGTTTTGAGTGCTTTAGAAACACTTAAAGTCTAAGGTTGTGCTAAGGATTTTGAATAAGATACTGTGCTACGTGTTCTCTTCTGATTTATGCACATCTTCATGTGTCTTTATAAAAGCTGTGATGAAATTGATGTGTTTCCATATATCTTACTGGGTAGAACTCAAGAGGCCCTCAAAAGTGGACATTTCATCAGTGTCCTGCATGTCCTGATGCAGCTGCAGAGGATCTGTAATCACCCAGATCTGATAAACCCCCGGCTTTCGAGTACTTCATATGTATCAGAAATGCTGGAATATAGAACTGCATCTCTTGTACTGAGTGCCCTAGAAAGGGATATTTGGAAGGTGAGTGGAATAGTTAACTCTTCTCTTCGAGTGCTCTTGAAAAATACCAGTATTTATGTAGGTCACTCTGGAACTAAAGCCTCCTGTTAATTTCTGTGGAAACCACAACAGTGCAGAGAGCACAATAACGCTGTTTGGTAGAGCAAATTCTTAGCCGCACAACATTGTTTTCACCACTGTTAGCAGATCAGCATGGCTTGTCTTTCACACTGCTGTAGCCATGGCTCAAATGCACACTCACTGCCTCCCTGTGTTGGCATCTGCTGTTTGGTCTCCAAAAACAGTCAGTGAGTGTCGATGAATGTTTTCAGGTAGTTTTGACTAATGAACAAATTCTTTAAAGTTATTATTTCGTATCAAAAAGTAAAATGTAGAAAACGATTTCAGCATAGAACACAGAGTAACTGACTGTCAGTGCCATCATATAAATCTACTTTTACAATATCCTTAGGAATCGGACCTCTCTCTTTTTGATCTCATTGGAATGGAAAACAAAATGACTCACTATGAGGCACAAATGTTGCCGAAACAAAAAGTTACTAGAAAGCTGATAGAAGAAATCTACAGCTCTCCTCCACCACCAGCTAGGCCTAACCCAGTGAAGCTCAAACCTAGCAGGTATGTGCACGTCTTCCTTGCAGCTAGAACTACAAGGAGCAAGATGTAGATCTGTTGCTGTGTTTCTGTCTACATATCTAGTCATGTGATTCACATAACGCCTCAGGCTTTGCTTTGTATTTTTGTAATTTTTCTTGTTCACCTTTGGAAGTAGGGAATCCATTTAAATAGGGATTTTTTAGGCATACAACTCTATTTGAAAGTTTTTTTTATCAACTTCCTGAAGTTTTTACTTGACCAGAGTATGGATTTTATTCTTGAGGTTCTTATCTGACAAGAAGCATTGTTTTACGACTTAGTTGGGAAATCTTTCTTTGAGCCTATTGGCTGTGCTTACAGTGTTAGCTGTGCTTGCAGATATAAGAGGCATAAGTTTTGTCAGTAACAAAATTTCCTTCACGGCAATAGTGATCTCCATGTTGTGTGGAAGTGTTTTTCTGATGAAAAGGCCTGATGACATGCTGGCATCTCTCTGAAAGTGATACAAGTGATACATTTTCTAGATTTGGAGCTGGAGAGTTGAACTTGCTAGCTGTAATTCTGCTGCTTCTTGCATCTGACTGGATGGCAAGAAAGGTGGTTTTATTTCTTACATTTTGCAAACTGAGTGTATGGGATTTCTCTAAGTGAAGTCTGCTAGGTATTGAGTCTTGCCAGCTTCGCTTACCTTTGTGAGCAAGAGATGAGTAGTAACTCTAGGATCAGTTTATACTTTCCCCAGTGACAGGACTTATTTTTTAAGAGCCAAATTATGATTTTCCTATGGCCTTCGACTTCTCATCTTCTTCTCAGGTTGTTCCAGCTAGTTCAGTATGGGCAGAAACCAGAGGGCAGGACTGTAGTTTTTCCGAGCACTCAGGTACAACGCACGGTGACCACAGCAACAGTAACTCAGCAGGGACAAGTACGGGGAAGATCACCCATAGCTACAGTGTCCTCAAATCAAGGTAAGAGAGTTTTAGGGCTTTGTTGATCACATAGACTTCTAAACACTGGTACAGCCTGGTAATAGAACTCTTTCCTCTAGCTTAACGGTCTAGAATACTAATGGCTTAAAAATACCGACAAACTAATTGCCAGTAAACTTCCCCACTAGTTTTCTATGATATGATCTGTCAGTGTAATGCAAAACTAAGCTTTGTGAAACCTAACTGATAGCGCGTGGAGTAAATATGGCGTAGTGGTATTTAAAACCTGATCACATGTAACATTCTGTCAAACCTGGGAGTTTACAGTGCATTTGTGTATTTATTTAACCTTTAGACAATGCTTACTGAATAAATGATGTCGTAAAAGTAGGATGGAGGCATGGCTAGAAATCCCAGTCTGTAAGGAAAAGCCGTTCCTGTAGCCGTTTTAATATCCTGTTGGAAGGTTTCTTTTCAATGCAGGTTGTTTAAAGCAGTGGAGTTAAAACCTCTAACAGCTTGCACAAACAAACCTTATTGATTGCAGCTGCAGCAGCACAGTTTCAGACAACTCAGGCTTCCACCAGTGCTCCAAGACACCAGCCCGCAGCGACCTTCACCACAGCAACTAGCACAGCCCATCCTGTGAAACAGCGGGGCCAGACCGCAGCACAGGCCTCCCAGCTGGGCCAGGCCCAGCCACAGCCCCCCCCGCACACCATCCAACAGAGTGTGCTGCCTCAGAGGCTGGTCCTCACCTCCCAGGCCCAGGCACGGTTGCCTAGTAAGTGGCCTCCCCTTTCGAGGTTTCTCCCACCTTTTAACTACAACGAGGTTAAGTTACTAGGCACCCTAAAATGTGTACAGAAATCGTTGTTTTTTTTCACTCTTCTGATTAGCCTTGCTCAGTATGTTGCTTTTGACCAAGGAAAATCGAAAATTGGATAAGAAACAATAGAATTGCTGTGGACATACATTAGCGGTGTCAACTTAATCTCCTATTTCTGCATGTTTCTTCTGCTGGCAAGATTTCCTTCAGACCAAACGTTTTAGCTCTATCCTAATTGTTCCTTTCGTATTCAACACTAATCCATCTGCTAAAGGCCTCTCACAGAGAGGAGCGTAGCAACTGTTAGGCAGAGAAAAGCAATGAGGCTTTGCTTTAAGGTTGGATGTGCACTGCCTATTAGCATGTGTGTAGAGTAGAGCACTGATGTATTAATTTATCTCTGGGGTAACGCGCTGCCTTTACAAAAGCTAAAATCTCACAACAGTCTTTTCTCAAGATCATAAAACTTAATGCTTACATGCCTCCAACCATTCTGCATTTAAAACACAAAAAGCTTGGTCCTCATCACTTTACAGCTTTTTGGTTTGTCTAAGTGCAGATTGCTTGAAATATGAATTAATCTGAAATTTGCTGATGAAACCTATTTTTAATGTGTATTTATATTGCTACATACATAGCAAGTTTTTGTGTCTTCCTTTATGCTCTTGAAAAGGCAGTGGAAATCACTTCAATGTCTATACTTGTCCTGTTACAAAGTGTCACATGAGTTTTCAGGTCGCTCTTATGTCTTTGCTAAGAAAGTGACAGCTTCTAAAATGTTGATGTTCTTAGCTTTTAAACAATCAGCTTTTTTCCAGTTTGTCCAACAAATACAGAAAGCAATACCTGCTTAACTTCTATATGACACTTTTGATGCACTGAGTATAATTATGCATGGAAGGTGCTTCAGCACCAGTGTACTAACCAAAGCTTAAAATTGTGAGTGTTGAACGGCTCTCCTCCCACTTTGTTTTTCCTAATGCTTGTTTCCCTCCTTGACAGGTGGTGAGGTAGTAAAAATAGCGCAGCTGGCTTCCATAGCAGGAGCGCAAGGCAGAATTGCTCAGCCAGAGACCCCTGTAACACTGCAGTTCCAAGGCAACAAGTTTACTTTGTCACATAGTCAACTTCGTCAGCTCACTGCAGGGCAGCCTTTGCAGTTACAAGGTATCTATTCCAAAACAGTGAGTTTTCATTACTTAGAACGCTGGGTTTTGATGAGGGCAGCACATCCCTTGTGGCTGTATCTTGAGATCTTTGCCCCTACTGTGTTTATTGTCCTCGTCTGCCTTTTTGCTGTGTGACACAATTAGGAGCTAGCTCTGTTTTGAAGATTAAATGTGAAAGGCATGGTTACACTCCTTTACAATACTGTACTTGAAGATTTTATTATTGAACTTGCTTTCACACGCATGCGATACAGCTAAAGTAAGGTGAGATTATTTCAAATAAGCTACCCAACAGGTGGCAGAAACACACAAAACTGAGAACGTTCTTCAGTTGTTCTGAAGTGGTGTAAATATCTCTTGTGAATTATTGTTACCCTGATCTGAATGCTCTACTTACACTTTTGTTCTCACATTTACCCTCTTGGTGTCATGGGTCGCCATATTCAGGAGAATCTGAAATCTTTTGCTGTGGCAGAAATCATCAATAGATGAAACCCTGATTGAGGGTTTTGTCCAAACTCCATATAAAGTAGCTAGAACCAGAGCGATAGTGATACCCTGAATATATGAAACTCCTGTTTTATAAAAATGTAAAGGCTTCGTTAATAATCTCTGGCAGGAGACAAAGATGATCTCTCCTGGTAGAGATGATGGAATTTTAAATAGTTGTTAATTTTCTCCCCATGTGTTTATGGCATAACTTGAAGTAGTTTGTAGCAGCATGTCACGGAGTTGACCAGATCAATCGATGTCCGTGACGGGGCAACAGGCCTCTGCCCCCCCGAGTCCCACAAAAATGGGAAGGAAGGAAGAGAGGGAAAGAGCAGCGGCAACAATCTGTGGAGGAAAACTTATTTTACTATAATATTGGAATACAAGCTAACACAATACAATTTAATTGAAATTGAGGTTAATAAATCAGACAAGATGAGAAAGAGAGTTCCCGGGACCGAGTCAAACCTGAACAGCTTGGAACAGCTGGGAAAGCACCTGCAGCACCCACTGCAAGGCAGCAAGAGAGCCCCCCCCCCCCCCACCTGGAAGGGCCAGATCCCGTGACTGCTGTAATGTACAGGGATGGGAACCTGGGATTGGGGCAGTGACACTTTAATGCCCCGTACACTACGTGATGTTTTGATGTGGAATACTGAAACCCCAGAACAAAAAAAACATAGAACCATGACACAGCAGTATCTTTTGGTACAGAACTTTATTGGTCCTTTTACACTCCTCCAGTTTAATGTTTTTAAAAATCCTTCATTGCAGGAAGTGTTCTTCAGATAGTTTCAGCACCGGGTCAGCAGTATTTGAGACCTCAGGGTCCTGTTGTCATGCAGACGGTTTCCCAAGCTGGAACTGTTCAGAATGCTCTGAATGCTTTAGGAAACCAGCATCAAGCAGGGGTGCCAACTTCCACAGCAGTAACACAGCAAGGTATGCCTTGTAGCTTAAGAAATGTATCTAAACATTCAGTTACTAACATCATAAATTAATAAATACTCCAAAGGTTTGAACTCGACTCTTTCAGTTGAGTTCAGAAGCAGGTTTTCATAGTTATGAAAGAAATCCTTCTGACAAATGATACACAAGTGATGTGTACTGAAGTTTTAGTCAAGTCGTCTTCAGAACTTGGAAGAGCTTGAAACTGAATGAAATGTGTAGATTTTTCTTTATCAAATAGGTCTTAAGTCAGACTTGTGGGAAGAAGCAAGTTTGAAATACTTTGTTTCTATTTTCAAAGAGAGGTCAGGGTGATTATTGTTCTGTACTGTGTAGAATGTCTGGTGCTCCTCTGCTTCTCCACGCTGATTTTCTGATTTTCTTTGCCTTTATCTATCCAAGCCACTCTTTTTCCTTTCACTCTGTAAAGTCTGTTCAGATATTTGGTGCCTTGCTGCAAATGTGATCAGTGCCTTGCTTTAAAACATAACCAAGATGTTGATCAACAGAGAAACTGCAGTCTAGGATGTACTTAGGCATTAACAGCAGGTTGTTAAATGATGGTAAATGCAATGCTGGGAGTTTGTTCCTTGGAAATTGCTGTCTGCTGTAAATTTCTGTGGAGATGAGCCATTCACTTAAAACAGGCTGTTTATTGCTTCTATTTGTGTCCTAATGTGCCCTCCAAGCTCATATTTTGAGACTGTGAGGACTAGATGTCTCATCACAAAAAAAGAGAGCATCTTCAACAGTCTCCCAGTTGTTGGGAGGTAAAGGATTTCTGTCATAATTTAGAAGATCTGTGGCTCAAATGTTCCATCCTCCAGCTTGGATAATGCTACAGGAGCTCCTAATATGACCATAGCTGACAACAGAAATTGATCATTCAGAATATAAGATTTCTACGAAATCTCATGATGACAAAAAGAGAAGTATGTTAAAAGTAATAATAAATATTGTTTTCAAGTGTTGAAACTTCTCACTTTTCATCTTTGGAGGAAGTTGTAAAGCATATTGAAAATACTTATTTTGACTTCCTACATTTTGGATAAAATGCTAAATCAGTTGCTTGGAGTGACTGGAAACTAATTGCTGAGCTGGTTTAGCTGTGTAATGAGATTGGATGTATGCTGGATATTCCCTTAGGGTTGTTTGTGTCTACTAAAAATGTGCTTTCACCTCTGCTTATTTCTCAGTCTGTTCTTAACATAAGAGCTGCTCCTGGTTGTTAGTGTGCATTGGGTTAATCCGTGGTGCCTGGGCTCACCAGTACGTGCAGCTGACTGGAGGGCTGTGCAGCTATGAAATGTCCATGTGCTGAAAATAACAAATGAAAGCAGTCTTGGAAGAATAAATGTATAAACACAAGGTTTATCCTCAGTTTGTATTCCAGGTAGAACTGCAGTTACTAATTTGTCATCTGGTGACATGGGAGCAGTGTTAAAAACAGCACCTACGCATGGGCAGTCACAGGTATGTCGCTGCTGTTTTCTTATGGAAACAGAACTTTTCAGGCTTCGTATTAAGTTGTAATTTAGAACACTGGAATTAATTAGGAACTTTCATTATAGAGTAGACAAAATAAAAAAAACAAACCCCTCTCTGTGGTAGTGTTTTAGATTGGCAAATTGATGTATTTTCCTTTATAGTCCATCATTTAAAGTGCGATGCATACACCTCCACAGCAGCTAACGGATTCCTATAGCTGTTACGTATTCATACATTCCTTTATTGTAATTCTGTAGTCATGATCAGATTTTGTCTTTGGAACACAAAGACAATTGGGCAGAGTTCTCAAGATTTCTAATCTTGACACTTTATAAAAAAGATCCTCAAGCAACCTGTGAAACACCGGGGAACGTTGAACAAGTTGTAAGGAACTGCGACTTTTTTACATGAATGCAATTAGTAAAGTGTTTGAAATGTAATGTTTTTCATAATGACACTTTTTCATATATGAGAATGTACTTTAATGAAAGCAAGACACTGATCTGAAATGGAATAGACTTTTTATGGTTGAATTTAAATGTGATCTTCAGTTTTTATTTGAAACTTCACCTTGTAGTTGATTCAAGCAGTTAAAATTGACCATGTTAGCAGGGTGAGACACAAGTGACAGATCCTGATAGCTTCATTCTGAAGAACCTCAAATTTTTAAGGAATTGTTGTAAGCAGCAAATATTTTTTTTTCAACCTTCCTTGGCAAAGGAAACATATGAGGAAAAGAACCGACTTCTGAAGGAGCGCCTGGACAGAATATTCCATGGCAACGAGCGCCGCTGTTCAAGGGCTCCGGTGTATGGCAGTGACTTGCTGAGTATTTGTTCGCTGACTGGTGAAAGGAGGCCATCCCAGGTGTCCTCCTATGGGGGCAGCAGTTGGAGGTGGGCTGGCTTTGTCAACTGCTGCCTTTCCAGTGCCTCTGGAGGCCCAAGTGATCCACTGCATGAAATGATCCAGACTTTGGTTCGGGAGCAAGAATCTCTAAAGGATGTTATTGACAGGTAATGTGTGACTCTGTCCTCGTAGGGCTTGACTACATTTAGGTATTACTTAATCTGTCCTTTTCAGAATTCTAAAGCCTTATTTCTGATCATAAGCTTGGTTGGTTTAGATTTATTGATTTAGCAGTAAATGACTTGCAGGATTCAGGAAGCCATTCCTTTGGTTTGTTTTAGGATCTTGGTAACAAAATTGTTTGCTACCTTGTTCCTAATTTCAGACTCAAATTCAGCTGACCACATGTCAATTCATGTTCTCATGGTTTGGGTTTAGTTTTGACTTCTTGCCATTAGCCATCCACAAGGCACATTAAGGCACAGAGATGCAGATGGAAACTTAGCTAAAGCTGGCACTTAGTGGATTGTGTGCAGAGCAAATAACTGTGATTCTAGAGACACAGAATGCAGTCAGAAGAACTCAACTAAAAGTATTTAAAAAAGAGTTTGGTGTTACAAATGTTTCTTGTGTTTGAACTCCAGTCACTGGATACAATAGCCACAAAACAAACACTGTATCAGAATATGTTATCAGAACAGATGAAACAAAACCAAGGTAAAGGGATGGAGAGAATATTAGCATTCCTAAGATTTGCAGCACTTCCTAAGTCAGTTCAACAAAGTGTGTATGCACTGCAGAGCAAAACTGCGCTGCTGACAGGCTGGAAATTATTGATCTTTTTGCATGTAGCTTCACAACCTGCTATTCACACTTGAAAATGCTTTCCACAGGGCTCTCTTCGTATTGCCAGCTGCAGTTGCTGCTCCCCCATGCTTGTATGTGGCAAACCCTCCCCCTTCGTACAGTCACAGACTGAAAGTCCTCAAACACAGTCTGAAGCAGAAGGCAGCTCCACACTTACATCAGTTGCAGCGGATTACAACTCCGCAATTGCTGCAGTTCCCTGACCTCCGCCTGGTGCAGTATGACTCAGGTAAAGGTGGACACTGAGTGCTGACGCTTTGTAATTTCCTGTTGTGCAGCAATGGTGCGTCTAAATGAAAGCATTACTCTTTCTTTTAAATATAGGAAAACTAGAAGCTCTTGCTGTCTTGCTTCAGAAGTTGAAATCCGAAGGGCGCCGCGTGCTGATTTTATCACAGATGATTCTAATGTTGGACATACTGGAATTGTTCCTGAATTTCCATTTCCTCACGTTTGTGAGGATTGATGAATATGCTAACCATGAACAACGGCAGGTAAGTGTGTGCAAACAGTTGTCTGCTGGTACCACAGCGTGCTACAGCAGTGGAAAGAAATTTGCACTGTTTCTTTGAAACGTTGGCTTTTTCCTAATTAGGCTAATGAGTTTGCTTAGGCTTTTTATTTTGGTGTGTGACTTGCTTTTATTCCTTCTACGTAGGAGCTGATGAAAAGCTTCAACAGAGACAAGCGCATTTTCTGTGCCATCCTTTCCTCTCACAGTCGTTCCACCGGTGTCAATCTTGTTGAAGCAGACACTGTTGTGTTCTATGACAATGATCTAAATCCAGTGATGGATGCAAAGGCACAGGAGTGGTGTGACAGAATTGGGAGATGTAAAGATATCCACATATACAGGTGATCAATGACGTTACAGATTAATGAGCTTTCTTTAATGTGTTTAATGTAAGGTCATCCCAGATAAGGCTACGTAATCTGAAAGAAAGAGGAAACAGTGCTGAAAGCCACCTCATTTTAATACCCCCTCACTGCTTTGTCATATGATAACACAGTCTGTCTTAACACCACATCTGATTGTATGAATCACGTACAAATTTTCTGGATGCTACCATACCTTATGTTACATTTTTTTTGTTTTCCCTAACACTGGTTGTTAAAAGAAAGCTTTAAAGCAAAACAGGTAGCATCTGTTTTGTTCAAGCATGCAAGCATCACTGCATTTCAGTAGTTCAGTGATACTGAATGGCAATTCCTCTCCTTGCTTCTGAAAGCTATTTTGGAAATGACTTAACCAATTTCTGCTCTTTTATTTCACTTCTTAGACTTGTCAGTGGTAATTCTGTAGAAGAGAAGCTTTTGAAAAATGGCACAAAGGATTTGATCAGAGAAGTAGCAGCTCAGGGAAATGACTATTCAATGGCCTTTTTAACACAAGTAAGTTATTAATATTTAATATTAAAATATGTTCAAACACCAGTGTTGCAGTGTTAAGTTCAGACTCTTGTTGGAATAAGAGCAACACTGCTAGAAATGTGTTTGGGGTGGTAAATGTCGTAGTTACTGTGATTGCCTGAACTTAGGTGTTAATATTTGGGAGATTGTGCCATTACCTGCTCTTGTTCCCTTACTTGAAAGGCATCAGTTTCAATTTCAACAACTTTGAAAAAGCTAAAATAGGAAGTTAAAAGTATTTGGTGAGATAAACTGAAGGTGCAGAGGATGGTGACTGCTCTGACCAAGCTAGTCCGTCCCTTTCTGACACTGGTGATGTTGTGATGTAGAATGTTCGGGTGTGTTTCTCACTGACTTGTAAATTGCCTGATGACACTTCATTCTGCTGTGTGTTCCTACAAGAGAAAATTACAGAAAATACTGAAGAGAAAAAGGACAATTTTCCAGAAGTGATAGATAGTATGCAGTTCATAAGGTCACTGGAAACTAAGTTTATTCAAAGTAATATAAAAAACTGGAATGGTCCTGAAAGCTGAATAATGCTTTTTTTTCCTTCCAATTACCAAGCAAACAATTCAGGAGTTGTTTGAGGTTCATTCTCCTATGGAGGATTCTGGATTTAGAGTGAAAGCAGAAGAGTTTGTAGTACTTTCTCAAGAGCCATCTCCAGCAGAAACCATTTCACCCAAAGTTGCAAGACCGTTCATAGAGGTAATTATTAACCCAAATTAAAGATGCAACTGTAGGACATCAGTATTTAATGGCTGCCTTATCTTTCTGGGGAGGTGGGGGTGAACTCTGCCAGTTGGTTTTCTGTTGGTTTTATGTTGTTTTGACAGTCAATTTTCCTCCTAACTGGGTCCCTTTGGTTGCAGTGCAAGTTGTAAGCTTGCATATGACTGTTGCTTAAGGAGCAATTTATTGCAGAAGTTTTTGTTGGACTACAGTGAAATCCTTACAAGGGTTTCTTTCCATGTTTTTGAAGTATTAATTACTTTAAAAATGTCTTTCTGAAAGGCCCTCAACAGTATTGAACGAGAGAATGAAGAGCCAGATGATCGCATGCAAGAAATAAGATCTGAGTCGAGCATCGAAGCTTTGGTCTCAGAGCTCTGTGAGTCAAAATACAATGAGGAACCCTCACCACTGCAGGAGTTGGTTGCTGTTGTGGATCAGGTACTTTTTCCATGAATGTTTAGTTAAAAGAAATGTTCAAATATTTCAATTTCTTTGCAGTTTTGCCTTGAAACAACTTTGTTTTCAATTGGTTTGATACTTCATTAAATGGGGAAAGTCCTGCTGACTTGAGCTGTTATGCCATCAGAAAAGAGATTTGTTTAAAGGAGTGCTTTGCTGCATTTTCCTTTATGTTTCTTTTATTATTCGTAATACTAACTTCTTTCTTCCTTAATGTGTTCTCTCAGCTGACTCCAATTGAGAAGTATGCTTTGAACTATTTAGAGCTCTTCCATGTTTCAGTTGATGAGAATGAACCACGATTGAATGAGGTAAAATGATAAATATTTGTACTTCACCTTGTCGTTTCCTAGTGTGTACAATGAGGGTTAATATTTCCAGTGTGAGTGGGAGTTTATCCAGTGATGTGGGACAAACTGTAAAGAACTTCAGCTACTTCCTCTTGCTCTACTTCTGAACACCAGAATGCTTTATGAGAAGTGTCTTGTAATTCTTTTGGTTTAAACATATCAGTTCTTGATTTCTTGTAAATTGGGAGCGATGTTCTTCAGAACAGTTCAGCAAATATTTGCTGTGCTCCATTGGCAGCAGGGAAAAATGTCATCAGCTTTGGTGAGACTGCCTATTTGGTTAAAGGATCTTCTCGTTGTCTTGAATGTTTAGCCAGAATTTGCTTTATTTCAATATTTTTAAATACCTGCAACGGAGACCAAGAAAAGCTCCTTTAAGAGACTGTGAAATTATTTGTAAAGAAATGGTTTCACACTTTCTGTGCCTGAAAATGTTGCAGCTTAAAGGATTTATCCATAAATACCACAATTCAGTAACTTTTAATCCAGTGTCTGCTGCTGCATGAAGGTTGTAAGGCCTCTTACTTTTCCCCCAGGTGGAACTGAAAACAGCAAAGAAAGCGTGGGAAGTCCAACATCTGAGGGAGTTAAAGGAAAAAGAGCAAAAAATGCTCTGGGAGGATGAAGAGGAACTTCTCACCTATACTCGGGAGGATGCATACAACAAAGTAATTCCTGATTACTGTATTTCTTAACTGTGTATTTCTTCAGTTATTCTGAGAATGCTTTTTCCTTCAGAGTTCAGTCGTGTCATTTGGTTGCATTCTCTTTTTGCTGTGTAGGAGTACGTCTATGAAGGTCCAGATGGACAAACTGAAATAATGCCAGTAAGTATCAGTAACAGCAGCCTGAATAGCCTTCTTAGTGTGAAGATCAGTGCTTAGTTAATATGGCAGTAACTAAAAAGTTTACGTTCTCTGCAGCTTTGGACTCCTCCGACTCCGCCTCAGGATGACAATGATATCTACATTGATTCTGTGATGTGCCTGATGTATGATACCACCCCTATTCCAGAATCAAAACTGCCTCCAGTGTATGTCAGGAAGGAACGCAAGCGGCACAAAACAGATCCTTCTGGTAAATGCCAAAACTTCTTGAAATTGCGTTGCTAAAATTTTTTACAAATATACCAATGTCTTTGCTTCCTCTTCATAACAATCAAAACGTGCAGATGTGAGGTGAAAAGTTTTGTCTCACAGTGATCTTCAATCACTGCAAGCTCTAGTTTAGACAGTGCATCTTTTGATTTCATCATACGTGGTTATTTTGCTTTTGGAAGTTCAGCTCTAGAAGAGGGGCAGCTGTGTCAGGCTGGTCTTACGTCACGAAGGCTCTGGCCGTGGTAAATCTAGATGCTGGCAGTGTGCTTTTAAGAGGTAGCAATGGATATGTACATATATACCTTCAGGAGCACTTTGCAGCCATGCGTAACAAAGAAATCAAGCAGTGATTGTGTCTGTTTACAAACAATTTGGTTTCTCTTGTCTTAGCTGCAGGCAGGAAGAAGAAGCAGCGTCACGGGGAGACGGTTATTCCTCCTCGTTCACTGTTTGATCGAGCAACCCCAGGAATGTTGAAGATGCGCCGAGAGGGCAAGGAGCAGAAGAAGAACATCTTACTGAAACAACAAACACAGTTTGCAAAGCCTTTGCCAACTCTTGTGAAACCGGCTGCTGAGAATGGCCAGGATAACCCCGAATGGTTGATCAGTGAGGACTGGGCACTTCTGCAGGTCAGACAACATCTGGCTTTTTGCTGTTCTGTATTACGTTTTCCCTCTAATTTCATTAATAGCTCTTTCAATAGTTTTCTTTCTTGAAGGTCACTTCAAATTCCTGATCAGTTTCATATGGTGCTGACCTAACTCAGAGCAGACTGCACATCCCTTCTTTCTTTAAGGTTAAATTAGAAGTTGAGGATGATGAAGTCCTATTTTTGTTTTAGAGACTGCTTACTGTAATGGCCCAGATAAGTCTGGATATTGGATAGTGCAGCTAAAGTTTCCCTCACCTTTGAGAAGAGAGCAGTGCCTGAATGGCAGCTCCCTGTTCCTACTGTACCCCTCTCTGTGCGTTTCTGCACACCTATCTGCATAGGAAACTTTGATGCTTATTTATTCTCTGTGAATGCAGGTGAAGCCATGTTCTGAGGTCTGAACTACCTGTTCATTCTAATAATGGTGAGGGGTGCAGCTAAGGGTGGGTGTGGAGGATTGGAATGATTTGTGACCTGAAGCTTTTGTACCTTATGTATTGTAGGCAGTGAAGCAGCTGTTGGAGCTCCCTTTAAATCTTGCTGTTGTATCGCCAGCACACACTCCCAATTGGGACCTTGTTAGTGATGTTGTTAACTCCTGCAGCAGAGTCTATCGCTCACCAAAACAATGCAGAAACAGATACGAAAATGTCATTATCCCCAGGGAAGAAGGAAAGGTGAGTTTATTTAGAGAGATGCGTCTTTGCTACGTTAAGTTTGTAGAGTATTTTTTCCTTATCTTCGTAAGCACTTTTTTTGTTAAATGTTTCAACAGTGTAAATAAATAACGTTAAAAGCTTATAAAATTATCCTCATCAGGATTTCCACTTATTTTATATGATTTCTTTGAAAAGAAAAAGCACCTGAACAAAATCTTCCACAAAAGATCATCTAACTTTCCTTCTTATTTTACAGCTAATGTACGAAGCTAATCCTAAAAAGAAGACAAAAAGTATTTATAAGGTGTGCATTGGTATTCTTTCAAAATCAAATCTAGACACTGTGGTATTTAGCAGCAATGGAGGTGGGCAGATACTTCATATGAGATCCATGTTCAGTGTTACTTGAGTTCTCAAACATCAATTAAAATTCCAAATTTATTTTTCCTTTCTTTGTTGATACAGTGGATTGACACCAGACTTCAGCTTTTGGATTTTCTAGATTAATTTTATGTCATGCAAGAACTCTTTCATTTCACTTTAACCGTAGTAGGCATTTTTCCACCTGACAACCACCATGTAACTTATCCTGATCATTGTTATGGTACTTAAGATGTGTGAGGATGTACTTCATGCTGGGGTCTGAGCGGCTCACAGACACGTAGGGAGTTTAATGCTTGACGTGCCTTTTTGTAAGTGAGGGTTGGAACACTCCACAGAAACACAAATGAATTCCATGATCATAAGCAACGTCTTCCAAACTGTTCTGCAATTTAGTGACAGAACTAGGTAGAGAATCTAGAACTGCTGACTGTAGCCCCATTCTCTGACCATTAAGCAGGTTTGTCCCTGACTGGCAGCTTCTGCTTAGGAGGAGCCAAGAATTAGGATGGCATGCTGTGCTGGATGTTAACATAGCTTTGTTGGGAGAGCAGTGCAGTGATGGTGTTTCTCTCTGACGTGTGCGCTGTGCATAACTGTAAACTAATGGGCTCTTGGTTTGAGTACTGAATTAAACTTAACTTAAAGCAAAGATTCTTTTTCAAATTAGTTTGCCATTTTGTATGTCCCCAAGCGCTGATGCCAGTGTGACCGTGAGAACTGCTCCTTGTTTTGCTCTTTCTTTATACATTTCCCATAGAATTTTGTGTAACAGTAAGTTATCAATGACACGAGGCAGAAACCAGTCTGTGATAGATATGTTGGAGTTGGTTTTTAAATAATCTCCAAGCTCACCATGTGTTTGTACATAGACGAGATGCTGTGTGGCTGTGTTCACCAGTAAGAGTTTGTTTCTTTTCATTTTTAGACTAAAAACAGTCGCCCGCTTCGTACGAATCAGATCTATGCTCAGGATGAAGGCGCCACCCACACGCAGCTTTACACTAACCATTTTGAGATGATGAAAATGATTGCAGGGAAAAGAAGTCCACCCATCAAACCTCTGTGAGTTTAACTGGGATGTTCCAGCCTCCCTGTCACCGCACATCTCCTGGATGCTTTGTTCTGAATTGCTCTCCCAGCTGAGGGGTTTTTTCATCTGTTTCAAACTGCTGTTCTGTTCCTCTGTTCTTGACCTCTCTCCTTGTGTTCTGGCCTGGTATTGGAATGCCTTCACATTCCATGTGGTTAGGTTAGCTTTTATTCGCTGCATGATTTGTTCACATACATGATTAAGAGTCTTGTTATTTTTTTTAAGGTATACTTTGTAAACTTGGCCACCCATTTACTTGTGTTGCAAACATTCTGAAGTCTGTGCTGTTTAGTTGGTTTTCTTTGTGTGTCCAGAAGTTACAGCAGTAACTTGCATGTATTCATTTATCATTTATTCCACATCTCTTTAAATGTCTGTCTTTATGCAGGCTCCAGTGCTGATGGGAGTATCATGAGAACTTCACCAAAACCACAGTGTCACCTACTAAAAAAAAAGCATTTAAAGTTTTTTTTCCTGTCTTCAATAATAAAATCTTTCTCAATTTCAGACTTGGCATGAATCCTTTCCAGAAGAATCCAAAGCATGCCTCTGTTCTCGCAGAAAGGTGGGCACTCTGTATTTACTTAAGAGAATAAAAATAAATTAGTTGTGTAATTATTTCATGCTGTGTCTTATTGCTGTTTCTAGTGGAATCAACTATGACAAGCCACTTCCTCCAATTCAAGTTGCATCCCTGCGAGCAGAACGTATTGCAAAAGAGAAAAAGGTGCAATCTCCATTTCATTTACGTGTATGACTGCAGAATAAAAAATATAGACAAGAGGAAGCATGAGGGAAATTTGACTTGTGGGGAAAGTTTGCTGATATGATTGTTGTAGCAAGTTGTTCACTTAGTAGCATTTACAGAAGGTCCAAAGTGGAACCTTGGGCCTGTGTGTGGCACTGATACTTCCTGCTTACATGCAGCATTCTGGAAAACGTATTTTTAAAAGAAAATTAAAATCTGGTGAAAATGTGAAACAATCTCATTTTATTCTTGATTGTTCCGTTTCCTACTTTCTTAAGCTATTCAGTAGGAAATGCTTGTTCTTGCTTTTAGATGGTAAATTGCTTGTTCTGTTATGTTTTAAGCTGTGCAACATTTAGACTGCAGCTCATAGTTTGAAACTACTTACATCTTGTAGCTAGTTGTGTTTACAAGGAAGCCAGACTTGCATGCTGTGTCTGCATGTATGCTCTGAACTAATTTTTTTGTTTTGTTTTAAATACATCCTGATTAATTCATGCACTGGTTTGACAATTGTGAAACTCATACTTTGTTTCCTAGGCTTTGGCTGAACAGCAGAGGGCACAGCAGCAGGCAGGCCCACAGTCTCAGCAGCAGCAAGGCGGCCAGCAGCAAGCTCAGCAGCCAGCTGTCCAGCAAGCACAGGCCCAACCACAGCCACAGGCTCAGGCACAGGTAGTTCAGCAGCCACAGGCAGTAGTGCAGACTGCAGTAACTACTGTGGCCAACACAGCAGTATTGGTAAGAAAGGGAGGACTTGGTGTCTGATGTAGTAACTTCAGTTCTTCTTTTCTGTGTACTACATCTGCGTGCTTTTACTTGCTTTGGAAAGTAAGAATTTTAGGGCAGTGTAGTGAAATGAAGGCTATTTTCTTCTTCTTTCTCTTTCTCTCTTGAGTGTGCTGGGCACCTTTTTTTTTTTTTTTTTTTTTTTTATTCGCTGATTAAAACTGTTAATATCATTATTTTAATAATAGGTGTTAGCATTTTTCCACCTCAGAAAGCTATATTCTGTGTATAGATGTCTTGCATTTTTAGTTTAGCATTTACCACTGTTTATCCAAAAAACTCAGAAAAGAGGCCGTAGCTGTAACAGCTGCTCTGTTAAAGTAGGTTAAAAAACAAAGCTGTGAGTAAATTAATCTTTGCTGGGAAAGTGGAATCCTGTATCCTACAGGACCTACAATTACTTGCATTACTGTAAAGCTTTCATGGCTTCTTTGAATGTAGAGCCTCTATTAGTGAATCTGATAACGGGTTGAAGGCTCTTGTTTTAAATCCAGTCCAGTTTGTTTAGTAATGTGCTCAGGGAGCAGTGATTTTAATGCTTGTTGAAGGGCCAGAACAGTACAGCTTTTCCAGAGACAGAGAAAGGGCTCTGTCCTGATAACACTGCTCTGTATCTCCTAGCAGGTAACCTCACACACATTAACACTGTGAGAGGTTACCTGTGTGTGCCAGTGATGATACCTCGCTCCCTTCTGCTGACAAGAATGTAAAATGTCCAGCACTTACCCAACACCTGACTGGTATCCAGTTGCTTATTAACATGGCAGAATCCTGACCTATCCAGAAGATATGCAGAATGAAAGCAAGTTTTACAACTATCTCTGCATTTTCTGGTCTCTTTCTTGAGCTGTCATTTCTGGAATACAGCACTGTGTTAAACAGCATAGCAGCATAAGAGCTATATTCAGTTTTCTTTTATTTGTTTTCTGAAGTTGTCTCAATTGTCTTCTCAATAGGCAGGCACAATCAAAACAGCAGTCACTGGGACAAGTATACAGACTGGTAAGAAGATTTTATAATTGGGCATTGGAGATGATAGGACATAAGATTTTCACTTTTTTTTTTTTTACAATATCATTTTTAATCCTGATTTTTTTTGCTTTCAGCTACAGTGAGTGGGAATGTCATAGTGAATACTGTTGCTGGAGTCCCTGCAGCTACCTTTCAGCCTATCAATAAACGTCTGGCTTCACCTGTTATACCTGGAACACTGACTGTGAGTAGACTGCACTACTAGATACTGGTTGCATCTCTGGGTTCATTTTGGTTGCACATGTAGATCTGTATCCTGCATTAGCTGTACTAGTTATCAGAAATTCCACTCTTTATTAACTTCATGTGTCTCGTGATTCTGTATCAACTGCTCTCCAATAGGAAAATACCAGCATAAACCTGGACAGATAATCAGAATAATGTACCTAAGAGACAGTGCCTAATTGTGAACCGTTTTCAAAAGCATTATCTGAAGAAATGGGCAGTCAATACAATTTCCAGCCTCTAATATTTTATGCTTAGGTAACTGTGATTTTTGTTTTAAGGTTGTAATTCTATAGAAGGTTAAGCAAAAAATGACAGGTAGTAAAATCAAACTTGTGTAGTTGAGGGTTTGGTGATCAGCCTGACAAAGATTTAATCAGATTCCAACTGTGAGATATATTCAAACATTTATTAGAAAGGTTTGGATTTTTTTGCTTGCTTTTTGACGTCAATTTCTAAAACTCTGTATCTGGGAAGCTCATGGCTTTGTATGAGATGTAAAGACTGTGCAGAGTAACGTGTGACTGTGCTCCTCTTCAGACTTCGGGAGGCACTGCAGCTGCACAAGTTGTGCACACCCAGCAGCGGGCGGCAGCTCCTGCAGCCTCCACAGAGCTGGTGACCATAGCATCTACACAGGGGGTCCGAGCAGTGACATCAGTGACTGCATCAGCTGTGGTAACAACAAACTTAACGCCTGTGCAGACCCAGACGAGATCACTGGTGACTCAAGTGACGCCAGGTAATAACTGCGTGCTTAGGGGTTGTTTCCTACGGTTCCTGCAGAATTCCTGAAGTTTGCTTGACCCAAATAGTATTGAAAGTCTGGCTTTGTTGGCTGCACAATGAGACAGTGCTATGATTCCTAACTTCAGCTTTTTTTGTTGGTATTTCTGGACAAAGTGTTGCAGTAGAGAATTGCTTAGCCCATAGGGGTTACAGTTAAAAAGAGATTGTTAGCAATCAAGCAGTAAAATATTGAGTATCAAACATAAACTACTATGAAGAAAGGAGTATATATTTTATTATTTTTCGTTGTGTTTATGCGAATGGCTTGTTGTCTATACTAAGTCTACAAAATGTATTGTAGCAGAACATTCTTTAACCACTTGGCTTCTCAGGTGAAATCAGACAATTAAATTCAATGTGGAGTGTCCTCAGAGCATTTCTTTTTCTTACTTTTCCTTTCGCAGCAACACCAACAGTCCAGCTCTCTGGCAAAACAATCACTCCTGCTCACTTCCAGCTTTTGAGGCAGCAGCAGCAGCAGGCTGCTCAGGTGCAGGTGCCTCAGATTCAGGCTCAGGCACAAGCCCAGTCTCCAGCTCAAATAAAAACTGTTGGGAAACTGTCACAGGTAAGCATTGCTGCCACTGTGTTGTGCCCTATTTTAATGGGCTAGAATGAAATGCAGATCTCTTAAAGTTGATTCTATGAAAATTTCATGAAGGTGGGGAGGACTGATAGCCATTTCAAATAGAAGTTCTGCTGCCACAGGTCAGGATGTAAAGCATTTACTGTTGCTTACCCACTGGCAACCTGTTGTGTAAAGGAGTTGCTCCTTAGCTCTGTGATCTTAACTAAAGTTTGGCATAGAATGTTACTTCAAAGCTGCAGGTCCATCTCCATTCTTTTTCCTTTATTCCTATAAAAGATGGAAAATAAAGCAGTGTATTTTTTCAGGAGCAGCTAATCAAGTTACAGAAGCAGAAGCTACAGCTTCCTCAGCAGCAGGCAGCACAGCAGACACAGCAAGGGGCACAACAGCAAGCAGCGCAAGTGCAAGTGCAGCAGCAACAGCAAACTCAACAACTCACTGCTGTTACAGCACCTCGTCCTGGCGCAGTCCTCACAGGCACTACTGTGACAAACCTGCAAGTTGCTCGTCTTGTAAGTTGTCTCTGACTTAATTAAAACAGCTGCAGACACCTTGTTCTCACTGGATGTTGGTTATTCGTGCACCTAAGTGCCCTTTGTGTGACTTAGGCTGTATGAAAGACCTCTGACACAAGTAGTTTTAATAGCACTTATTGACTGACCCATCTCTGAAGTGTGTTAGTGTAAAGGAGAAATCATACTCAGAAACATTTACCACTGTCACTTATTAATCACCTGTTATATGAAGCAAATACTTTTTTGGCTGGTACAATAATCTTCATTCCTTACTGCTTAGACTCGTGTTCCTGCTTCCCAGCTTCAAGCACAAGGACAAATCCAGGCCCAAACTCCACAAGCAGCACAGGTTGCTTTGGCAAAACCTCCAGTGGTGTCTGTTCCAGCTGCTGTCGTGTCATCTGCAGGAGTCACTACGCTCCCTGTTACTGTTGCAGGCATCAGTGTTGCTATTGGGCAGCCACAGAAAGCAGCAGGTATGTCAGAACACTTCCTAAAATATAATACAGATTTAAACTCCGCTTCCATAAAGGTTGGGTGCTCAAGTAATGTCTTCTGTGGGACTTAGACTTCAGTAAAGTAATGCGATGGAGGCTGAGCTCCCAAAATGAGGTAAGAGACTTGTGCTTACTCCACATAATCTGGAGGTCAGTATCATTCTTAAGCCAGAAACCTGTATATAAGAAGGCAAGACCAGATATGGTTTTGAAAAAAAGCTGCAGTAAGTGCTTCTTTTTAAATATGAAGCAGATACAGGAGAACTTGTCTTTTGTAACTGACTCCTGTAGTGCAGACAGAAGTTTTCCTGTAGGAAGTATAATTGTTAGAACGTAATTGTAGCTTGCTCATGCAACTCTATTGTCAAAATCATGTGTCTTACTCTAAAATCAGTGGGTCATTGGTGCTCAAAGCTGTGCTGATGTATAAGCCTGTAAAAGCACAATCTGTGTTTGCAGGCTGCTTGGGACAAAGCAGTAAATGAAAAGTCACAGTTGTAACTATGTTTATAATTTTCAGGAGGTCAGACTGTAGTTGCCCAGCCACTACATGTCCAGCAGCTTCTGAAGCTCAAGCATCATCAAGCAGCACAGCAACAGAAAGCCATCCAGCCCCAGGTTGCACAGGGTCAAGCTACTGTGCAGCAGAAGGTACTCACAGTTTGCCTGAGTTTCCTGATGTTTCTGTGGCTGTAAAGCTTGAGTTGTGGATTGTGGTGGCACTCCTAGGCACTTAATATTCCTGTGATTATGTCTTACATGTATCCAGAGAGGACTCTTTGTTAATATGTTCACAATTTCTCACGCCTCAAATTTAATGTAAGTTTGTTAGTTTTGTCTTCTGTATTATGTGACAGAGATTAAGGCTCTCTTTAGTCACTTGTAATGCAACTAAGTCTGGGAAATTCTCAGAGACTTTCATTTTTACATTGTAAACTGTGCAAAATACACTTTTCCCTGAAATGTCACCATCTCATAGGCTTGGCTGTCACTGAGCCACAAACATAGTTACATTAATGTAGTGTTTTGGAAGTGTATTGCCATATGAACTGTGCCTGTGTGGGAAGAGAACCTTTAAAATGATTGAGGGTACTTGTATAAATACATGGAAATTTTCTCTCCCAGCTCCTTTGGCTATTTTTATTTGAGAGGATTTACTTCAGTAATGTAATCAATCTCGTTAGCTGTGTGCCTGTTCTTTGAAATACATGCTTTGTAGTCACTGATGCTTTTTTCCCTTCTGTAGATAAATGCTCAACAGGTCACAGTCCAGACCCAACAGCAGACGTCGCAGCAACAGAAAGTGACCTATACTACACAGCCTGCCATTAAAACTCAGTTCTTAACGACCCCAATTTCCCAAACCCAGAAGCCAGGTGGAACCCAGCAGGTGCAGGCTCAGATTCAGGTACAGGTAACACCATTCCTTGCTTCTAAACACTACTGTGATGGGATAACCCTGAAGGTAACAGGTGGAGTAACACTTCAGCACCTGCTCATATTAATTCCAGTTACATATTTGTTTAAATTAACTTTATTAAAGATTAATTGGTGGTGAATATCTGGCCTTTTGCCAGGTCAGAGAAACCAGCTGGAAAGTTTGTCTTTCCTTTTCAAAAGAAGTAAACTGGCACTCCTTTTTATTAGCAGTGGATTCGTACTGTTCTTATTAAGGACAATTAAATTCTATTTATTTCTTCCTGTTTTCTGGTGCTGCCTCCTGGCCTGATGTCTAGCAGCTAAAGGGAGCTGATGGTTACCTAACTCTCTGCATAATTAGATCAGTCTAACCATGGAAAGGAGGGGATGAGGAACTGGAAGCCTTACTCTTTCGAAGCTGTATCAAAGATAAATTAGTCCATTAGAATGTCCGTGCTTCCTTCAGTGTTACGTATAGTTAAGAGGAAACGGTAATTACAGTTATAGCTGAAAATTCTCCTTTTCCTCTTTCCCTCCTAGCTAAATATGCTATTCCAACATGCTCTTCTCAACTTGTTTCGTTTACAAAGCTGCACTATCACTGAGAAGGCCAACATACCAACTTGCAGTAAACACAACTTAGGAAAGGTTTCTTGGTAGCGGTTCTGATAGTACCGTGTGTTGCAGCTGTTAGCAGTTTTATTCTGACTAAATCTTTGTTTTATTCTATGGTCACTGAAGGTGGCAAAACTTCCTCAAGTGGTCCAGCAGCAGGCGACTGTTGCCAACATTCAACAGATGGTTTCAGTTTCCCAACAGGTATGTTTTGCCTGCAGCGCTAGAAACCTGGTCCTGCTGAAGGCTGATGTATTTGGAAATGCGTGTATCTTCCCTTTGTGGGGGACGGGTGGAATTTTGGAAGGCTGTGACCATTTCCATTCTCTAAAAATGAGTCAATTGAAAGCCAGGTCGGGTTGCTGTAAAATCTGTAGTCAAAATTCTGGTAGATACAGCAGAGTTTTCTTCATGAATGTAGAAGAACTGAGGAAAATATTTTCTAAAGATGAAATAAATTTAAATATTAGCTTTTTGTGATGTATAGTCAAATAATGGAACTCATGAATACCATCTGAGTTTGTTATACAAAAACTGGGATAAACTGGGAGTTGTTTAGTTCCAGTTCATACAGCTGTTTGAACTGCTTAATAGAAGTCAGTGCTGCGGTGTCCGTTCTAAATGTGGCAACAGACTGGGAGCAGAGGAAGAGAACAGACGGTTCTGTCTCCCTTCCCTTTATTTAACACTGATTAGAACAACTTTTGGATCATTAGCAACAGGTGTATTTACACTGCTGATGGGCAGGAATGTTTAATATTGGATGGAGGAAGCAGTTACTCAGAAATCTAACCCGTCAGCTCTTAATCTGACCCAGTTTGAAGTGCAGTGTTTTAGTGTGGAATAAAATCCGTGGCTGTTTATGTTAAAGTGATGAAGTGTTGTAGGCTGACTGGTCACCACCTCGGATGTGAGGCGGCAAGGGCAAGGTAAGCAGCAGGGAGCAGAGCCTCGTTGGTCAACACACAGCGAGTTATTGCCCGTGGAGCTCTTGGAGAACTCTTCAAGGCACACAAAGACTGCCCTTCTAATCTATCCACTGTGTTCTTACCTTCCACATACCTTCTGCAAAGAATCCAGCAGCATGTTGTTTGATCTGCACTGCAGGTGTGCCTTGCAAGCGTCCTGTTTCTTAGTTATCATTTGTAAGAAAAAGTGACAGAACACTTTCTTACCAAAACCACAGTGCCAGTATTGCTTCCAGTCCTTCTTTGTCTAAGATGCTCATCATTCAAGACAGCAAAGACCTTCTGCAGAGCGGGAATCTAATGGTTGCCTTGTTCTCCTGCCTTGTCTAGGTACAAGCTCAACCCCAGACAGTGACCCTGTCTCAGACCACAGCAGGTCAGCAGCAGGTTCAGGTGATTCCTGCAACAACTGCTACTGCTCAGGTTGTGCAGCAGAAACTGATACAGCAGCAAGTTGTGACCACGGCATCTCCCCAGATTCAGGCTCCAGGCGTACAGAATCCAGTCCAGACACCAGCAACATCTGAAGCCCAGAACCAGCAAGCAAAAGTCCAAATGAGGACACCTACTGTCAGATTAAAGGCACCTACTAAACCAAGTTGAACTAATGGTTAAATGCAATAACAGGGAAGTGCAGCGTTTCTTGTTTGCTAAGCCAAGTGAGAAGCAGCTACTCCAAACATCCAAATGAAGTCAAACCACTTTTTTTTTTTCTTTTACTTTTAACAGAAGGACTTTGCAACACTTAGACATGAAAACTCTCACATAAGTTCAGTGTGTTAGCAGCTCTGCAGCACTCAATCTGTACGGGTGCATTTTGCTGCTGTTCTCTGTGCTGATTGAAACCTGATAAATCAAACTTTACTTAGATTTAAGTTATGTCCAGCTTCACAAAAGTAAATGGGTGAAATGCCATAAATGTCAGTAACATCCATCTGTGTTAGCATACCACAAGCTGCCAGTGGGACCGTGCAGTTCTTTGCTAGAGTTGGGATGTGCTCTCAGTATCCACGCTGAAGCTGGTCAAAGAACCTCCTGTGGTTAACACAAAGTATCCTGCATCTCAGTGAAAGCTGCATGTTGTTCTAGCTTCAGGCAGATACCTCTGGAAGGTCTAACTTACATTTGAAGTGCTCCCTGAAAAGCTTAGCCAGTAAATGTGAAAACCTGTAAGTATATGTAATTAAAGGAAAAAAAAAAAGGTTCATTCTCCATTTTTGTAAGCCTTTTAAAATGTTTGTTAGTAGTTTTGTGTACAGTTTACTGCAGCACCCTCCCTGTGTGCTCGTTCTCGTACTTCGCTTTAAGATAATGGATATTTTAGGCATGAACTGAGTAAATACTGTGTGATGTGTATTACAGTGTAGCTTTTTTTTGTATATGTTCAGTGTGTTCAGCCGAACGAAGGCTCTGCAACTGTTTGTCCCAGGACTGCTGCCAGGGAAACTCCCATGGATCAAACGGAACCACTTGGTTTTGTTCTGCTCTTGCAACATGTTGAAATGTTCAGTACTTTCTACTCAGCTTTTAGCTCTGGGGGGGAGGTGGGGGAGCGGGGAAGGGGGGAAATGGCGACAACTGTGTAAAGATCGAGATCTAACTTTTGTACTATTCTTTTACTAAACCTAATGATGAATGTATCTTCAGGTGGATATTTTGGATGTGAATGCCTCTTCCTCCAAATTGGTTTGCCTTACTGTTATGAAGAAAGCAAGAAGCTGCACAGAACTGTGGGCTTTTCTTTACTTTTCTGGCATAAAGACTTTGCAAACAGCACTGCGTGAGGAATCAGAAAACTCCTGCTGGCTTAAATGGATTCATCTTCCTTTGGCCGTCGTGCTGCACAACGTGTACAACTAGACAAAGTTACACTATTCCTGTCCGGGATGGTTTTAAAGTTATTTTTTCATTGTGATCTTTTTACTCTTCAGAGCAGTCTGTTCCGAGGCGGGGCCGTGCCGCTGCTCACCCGCGCTGCTGCCACGGCCCAGGCCCTGCGCCGCCATCCGTTGAGCACCGCGTTACGCAGCCTGGCTCCGCGCTGCAGCTGCGCCCGCCGTTCCTTCGCTATCGGGCGTCTCCGGGCGCTTGTAGCCGCTCCAGCGGCGTTGCGAGGAATCGCGCTGTATCCCACCTGAAGGTGTAATAAAGTGTACATTTTGTAACCCGCCCTCGTCCTGCTCGTCGTTTCCCCGCCCACCCCGCCGCGTTCCGGCCCCGCTCTGGGCGGAGCTCCGCAGGGCAGCATGGCGGGGCCCGCTCTCGCCGCCAGCCTCGAGGCTGTGCTGGGCGGCCGCGGCAACGCGAACCGCGTCTTCGAGATCCTGGAGCTGCTGCCGGTGCGGGGCGCGGCGGGGGGGGGCAGGGAGCGCGGCGCGGGGCGGCACCGGGCGTCGCTCACGGCCCCGATCTTCCCCAGGCCGAGGACGAGGAGGACGCGCTGTGCGCCGCGCGGACGTGCCGCCGGCTGTTCGCCGCGCTGCTGCGGCGGGGAGAGCTGATGGCCGGCAGCCTGCCTGCGGAGGAGGACGCGCTGAGCGGTGAGAAGGGAGGGCGGGGATGCGCCGGGGCAGGGATGGGGCCGGAGCCGGGAACCGGCCGGGTGGGAGCGTCAGCGCCGCGCCTTTGCAGGGAACTGCAGCGCTGAGGATAAATACAAAATATGGATGAGGCACCGCTACGACGACTGCGTGGAGTGCTTGTCCGAGCTGCTGGGCCACGACTCCTTCCGGGTGAAGGTGAGCTGTGGGCTGCCGTTGCGGTACGGGTCTGTGCGGTAGAAGCAGTCCCCGCTCGGTGCGGGATGCCGCGGGGCTTCCTGGGGCTCTAACGCCCTTCTGCTCTGACGGTAATGGCATCCACGTGGCTCATGGAAGAGATTCGTTCTTCCTGTGCTGAGCAGCATCTGCGGGCCCGAGCACCGCCGTGCTCCTTGATGCGGGGCTTTTTCTAATCTGTGTTTTAAAGGAATCATCGCTCTGCACCCTCATGAAGTTTGTGGAGGTGGAGGCAGAATGCCCGTTGGTCGCAGAGCAGTGGAAGGGCAGCATAACTTTTCCTCGCCATCTTCTGAAGGTGAGCCGCAGAACCTGCAGAGCTGAGGTTTCAGGCAAGGAGATTGGAGTGGAGAAGAGCGATGTGGGCTCCAGAGGTGGAAACGTCTGTAGGGTGCTGCCCTCGATGGGTGGTGGTGTGGGAGCAGCTGCCTTGTGTGGGGCCTGGCTGGATTCTTGTATTTCTGAAATATCAGTTCTGATTTTTGGGGGGAGGTAAGAGGGAAGCTGCTGCCCCTGGCTCAGCCGCTGCATCGTTTCTAAGTTATGGTGTAAGATGGGTTGGAAGCACCCATCATGGCAGCTGTGAGCACTGCAGGTGGGACACAGCTCTGCTCACCAGACAGGGGTTGCCCTCAGCCTTCTCAGCTATCTGCTCCAACACAGTGAGAAACTGACTTGCTTTTCACTCCCACCCTCTTGCTAGGTGGTTGTTAACGGCTTACTTCCCATACATGAGGATGCCTCCCTGCTGATCTCTCGCTTCCAAGAATACATGGAGTATGACGATGTTCGGTACTTCGTCATGAAGGCGGTCACTGAGAGCATCGGACAAGTGATGCAAAAGACAAAAGAGGTAATGCTGAGTTGGGCTGTGGGATGGGTCTGGGTGAATTATTTGTTGCTCTGGAGCACACACCTTGGTTGCGAAGTGGGGAGGAACTACTGATATGTGGAATGACTTTGGAAGCAGGAGTAATAAGTGCACCCATTTGAAGGCTTTTTTTTGATTGTTTGTAGCATACGTTAATTATGTGTAAGACTGAAAGCAAACTGAAATTGGGGATAGTTCAATATGTATATTGTTGATTAGAACCTCACAGTCAGAGCTCTTGCTTCTGTTTTGCTTAGATATTCAGCTTGAGGGCATAAAGGTTTAATTCTCTTTAGTGTGTGGGAGGGTCTTTTTTCTTTCGTTGGACCCACCTGTTCTGTTAAATCAGAGTCAGTTCAGATGTAAGTTCTGTGTTAGGCAAATGAGTGATACTCCAGGATAAGGCAGCGATGGAGAAGCAGCATGCAGTACAGCCATCAGAGCTTTTCTTTCCTACGTACATCCAGTGGTTGGGAAGTAGGGGACTGTGGAAGCCCAGTGTGACTTCCCTCTGCGTGGACCTCTCTTCATGCTTGATCCTCTGCTTTTTGTCTGTTATAGAGGCCGCTGCCGTTTTACCAGCAGAATGTATTTTCTCTCATTTCACCCATTAACATGCCGAACAAAGAGCGTGACATGGTCAAATTTATGGTGAAGCAAGGTTAGTAAACTCCACACGATGAACTGCGCATGAAGAGGAAAATCACATCTGATTTTTATTGTGTAAAGGCTTTGTCAGTGTTTGCTAATGAAAAATTGTGCTTCTGTGAGCACAGTGATTCTGAGCAGCATTACAAAATCCACGTAACACACTTGCAGTCAGGTCTGTCACAGCTTTTTATCAATACAAAGAACTTATAGCAAATTTTTTAGAGACCCTGGTTTGGGGAACACTGTCTTCTCCCTGTGCTCCTGGTCTCAGCTTAACAGCCAGGAAAGGAGTGCTCCTCACACAGCGAGAAGGCGGCTGCTGGAGGCAACAGGAATGCTTCTGAGTTGGAATGCTATTAACTGAATTCTGATGTGTCCCAACCCATTTGGTAGAGGAAAATCTCAGACATCGAGCTTTAACATCTCATGGGAACATTTATGATCTTTGCTCTGCTTAATTCATAAGCTTCTCTCTCACTTCATTTTGTTGGGCTGCAGCGTGGGAAGAAAAGTGCCGTTTACCTTCAATGTGTCCAATTAAGCTTAGGGGAAGAGGGAAAAGTTTGACTAATATAATGCAAATTTCCTTGTATATGCGTATAAACCTATGCATATAGGTTTGCTCCTTCATCAGAGTGGGTTTTGTTCCTTAGGTTTTTTGTGGGTATTTGTAATAACTGGGGTTGTTTCGAAGGACTAAATAGAACAAGTCATTGTTTTTGTTTTTAACATCCATTTCAAGTTCCATCTCCCTTCTTCCTTTCTTCTTAGGTAACCAGGAGGAATGGAAGGTGTCAAAGCTGCAGGTAACTGTTCATTTGGTGTTTCAGAGTTCAATTTTCTACTGAAAATAGAACTTCATCTCCACCCATATTTATCTCACTACTTGCAATTCTGTTTCAAGGCACACAGGCAGGCGTTTGAAAGAATGTGGCTCACTTTTCTGAAGCACCAGGTGAGGGGTACTTCAGTCACTGATCCGGATTGCTTTCCAGTTGCCAATCCTTAGAGGCTGCAGCCATCCTTTGCATGGTGCTCCTGGTAGGACCCTTCTGTGCTATTAGATGAGATCAGCGCAGTCACCACCTCTGCTGGGTTGTTCTCCTGGCAAGGGGACGTTACCTCATGTTTGGTCTTTTTCTTCTTACTCAGCCTTTTTCTCCACCTTAAACAAGCCTGCCCATAAGGAGTTATCTACAGCATAACAACTCCTGTTTCTGAGCTGAATGTTCCCGAGCCTATTTATTAGTGACTTTCCTACTGCTTTTCCTTCTGAACTGTGCTGATGCTTCTAGCTGAGCACTCACTTCTTAGAATGAACACAGTTGTCAGGTGTCACTTCTATGGTCTCCCATTTGTTGCTGTGAACCGTTGTGTTTTGTCCTAGCATGTTCCCTTTTGCTTGCCTTGTCTTTTTGAGCCCTATGTTGCTGTTGCTCTTGGAGTTCTCATTTTGGTGATTTGACTGTATTGCTTTGTCCTTCACAGCTACCCAGTGGCCTTTACAAAAAAGTTCTTGTTATTCTGCATGACTCCATCCTGCCTCATATGAATGAGCCTACTCTCATGATAGACTTCTTGACAGTGGCCTATGGAGTAGGTGAGCAAAAACAGGCTTTTAGCCTTTGTGTGTCTCTGCAGCACAGTACACACGTAGTTAGGAGGGCTGCTGGTTGCAACACCACAGCTTTGGGTGGGATGAAGCTAAGGGACTGGGATGAATTCTCTTGTCTCCAAAAGTGAGATATGTTTACCTGCATCTGTCAATGTTTGATGGTTGTTATGTGTTAGGAAGATTACATTTTTGAATTTGCAAAGAGTTGAATATTGGAATGATTTCCTTTTCACACAGTTCAGGCATCACTGCTGATTCCTGGGCTGTATCCAGAAACAAGATGTGCAGTTTCCTTTAGAAATGGTCTTTCTGAGGAGGTCTTTTCCTTCCCACTGTAGCTTTCTTGGGAAATTAAAGCAGACTGTTTGTGTCTATTTGTTCTTCTAAACTACAGCTTAATCTATGCAAGTAACCTGTGATCCTCAGGAAGCTTTTGGCTGAG